GGTAACCGTTTAGGGACACACGCGGGCATATTTGCCAGGAAGGTGGATGTATGCAAGCGAAGCAGGTGGAGGGTGGGGGAGGGAGGGAGTCCGTAATCACTCAACCATGGCACAATGTGCACATGTGTACGTGTGGGCCTCACAGCGAAGGAAACACACGCCACAGCCTCCAATACCCTACTACGTTAGCTGCTCGTCATCATCATCAGCTTTAGCATCGGCAGCAGCACCAGCAGAAGCGAGAACAGCTTCAACCCCGCAGCATCAGCAGCAGCAATGGTTTGATGTCCGAAGCGGACAGGTTCAAGGATGTTGTCCGGGATTGCTGCTGCATAAAAGGGCGGTAGACCCGCGGGGGTGAGTCCTTGGAGCACTTACCGGTCTTGGTGGTGGTGGAGGTGTTGGTGGCTGTGGCCCGTGATGCCACCGAACCTGGCAGAAGCAGGCGGTCAGGAGTTAGCTGTAAGGTTCTGCGGTGGGTAAGCCCATGTAGGTATGATGGTCCTCGAGAATGTACAGCGATGCTTGCACCGCGCATGACAGATGACCGGGTCGCCTTAGCTCCTGCCCAGCGAAGACTAGAATATGCATCCATGGATGCAAGAGAATGTAACGGCCTGGCCGCTGCGCGTGCTCTTGTGGTCAGGGCCAAGCCCAGCGATGGCATTCTGAAATTGGCCCAAGCTGTCCTTGCGCGCTTTGATCCTCAGGTTAATACAGGTGTCCAAATATTGAGGGGAAATCCAAAAGTGATCTGCAGACCGACGGGTACGACCCTACAGAAGCAAGCCCATACGTGGTACGGCTGCGTACAAGGCGATAATGGTTATTAATGTGCAGTTCGATATGAAAGGTGATTGGGTGGCAAGGTGGAGTATCAGCAATCGGAGTTTACTCATTCATCAGCTTACTATCCATTGTGCATGCAGCACCAAACTTAAAAAAAGATGCAGGGAACCACTTCCCTAAAACCATCTCAGGGATGAAACAAAAGTCCATGTACTGTATTTGGGGAACTTGGTTGGATTGGTAATCTCGTGGCCCCGTACTAATTCGTAACAGTTGCCACGGGTTTTCACTCAATACTCGTTAGCGAACATGCCACAATGATGTATAAGGCAGCTTTTTGCGTTGTCACCGGGCTAAGGCCCTGGGCCCCAACCATTGGATCCATAATGACTAGTTCCTTATCAGGCTTGTGTTAAAGCTAAAACACCTAGAAATATAACAAGTCTTTTGTTAGATGGTGCCCTGGGGTTTACTTGTTGCGCACGAATGTTGGCTTCGGGTCTTTATCGTATCGCTCACACGCGATAGCACACGAATGCGCAATATGTAATGGGCTGGTGCTCAGCGATATGTGTCTGCCTCTTCAAGTCGCGTCTTGCAACCGCGCGAAATGCGCTACCTGCTGCCGATGGTTGCAGCGACGCCGGCGCTTCAGAGCTTCGGCGCTTGTCAGAACCCAACGCTTGCGTTAAGGGACTCCATCCAGAACCCGTTACCGCCAGGGCTGCTGATAGCCCCGTGCAGCTCTCCGATCAGCGCCAACCCACCGACGCATCCTCGCCAGTCCACATCGGCATCGTCGACGTCCGTGACCAATGTCGGCCCGTACCATCTGTAATACCTTCCAGTCAGCACGCCCAGACGCCAGCGGAAAACCCAACCGGTGTTGGCCTTCTTCGCATCGTCAACCCCCTGGCCATCCGCCCCAGCGCCGCCGCCAGCACAGCAGCAGCACCCGGGCCTGCTTCCAGCCCTAACGTCCCAGCAACAGCAACATCATCACCACGTCCCCCCGATGTCCCGCCGTGCACATCATCAGAAGTGCAGCAGCCGGAGCAGCAACAGCAGCCGGAGCAGCAACAGCAGCCGGAGCAGCAACAGCAGCCGGAGCAGCAACAGCAGCAGCAGAAACAGGAACAGCAGCAGCACTCCTCTTCAAGCAGCATGCAACCGCGCATGCAACAACTTCCGGTCGTAGTAGCTGCTAATGCCGACGGAGGACCGCCCTTCGCTTTTGCCATGCCGCCTGCCAGCATGTTTGACGCAGCGGCGCTCGCAGTCGCTACCGTGGCGCGGGTCAGCCCCATGCAGAACCGCAGCTTTACCAGTCGGCAGGTGAGCGAGGTACAGTGAGGGGAGCAAGGTCCCCGTAGGAGCTGGGGACATCTCCGTGGGGTACAGTAAACATGTTCGTCAGTGAGAGTGTGGCTTAAGGTCTTGGCCAGTGCTAGCAGGTTCTTTGTCTGTCTGTCTGTCTGTCTGTCTGAAACTGTCTGAACTGTTTGTCAATTTGCATATATGTACTTGAGGAAGAAGAGTAGTGACATTTGCATTGCGTGGGGGATTTTTCGCGATCTTCTGGGCCGGGTATGGCATCCTTGTTGTTGGGGACTGGGGACACAAGCCACTATGTTTGAGCAGGGCAATCAGCAATTCCGATCGACAGAAGCGAAGAGGCCAACGACCCAGATCGAGATATGATGTGTGGGACAGGGGGGTCATATCTTCACCCTGTGGCCGCTACCCGGCAGACCCTGCCTACCCCGGTATTTGGGGGCACCCTCATCCAGTCACCCTAGCCAACTTTTCAGTGGATTGCTCAGGTTCAGCACCTGGAATCAGGTTCAGCATCCAACGGAATCTGCCGGATCAACGGCGGCTCAACTCTATTTTTGGTCGGCTCGCAGGTCAACTTTATCCCAGGTCACCACCGTCCATCGACTAGGTGCACTCTTACCTTCCACCATCGGAAGGATTTTCGACCCTGACAGGTCTCGATCCCGGAACCTCCGGGGGCATCGATGTGTGCTTTACCAGTAGTGCCTGACCTATATATTGGATATGCATGTAGGAGCATGTGTGAATGGGGGGCCGTGTACACCCCTACTCTGGGTCGTTGGCCTCTTTCCCTATGTCGCATCGGGGTCGCTGATTGCCCAGCTAATACATAGTGGCGTGTGTCCCCAGTATGATAAATACTAAGTCTTGTGGGTACCGTCCGTTGCACGGCGGCAAGAAAGCAATATCTCATTATGTCCCCTCGTCAGCCCCCTGTTGGCGCACATACCTGTATAATAGTGATTTTGCTGTGTACTATGATTGTGCGTGTGCACAAGACGGTACGTGCTGAAGTGGTACATTCTTGGCGCTAAAATTTAAGGTGCCTTTCGCGACTTAGGGTTTGTAGTGTAATCCGTGCAGCAGCAGCAGCAGCAGTAGCAACATTGCCGCTGGTGAGCCGTCCTCGTCCGGATACACACGTAATGGTGGACCCGAAGTGTTTTTACATTTCATTTATTTAACGATGTAATTTTGCTTTGCTGGAGGATGATAATGCGTGCCGGAGATGCGTTGTTTGGGTGGCTCTTCGTGCTCCTTCCTGGACCTTCTGGGCCGCAGTACAATCCTCTTTTTTGGCAAAGAAATAAACAAACTCGGATTGCACTATTTACTAGGTTTATTCTTCTTCTTTCTGGACCGTCTCTCATCACCCACCCCGACTGACCTTTTTTGTTGTTCTGTGGGGAGCGGGTCCTCTCCTGGACTCCACCGATGATGATGGAGACCTTACCTTCCACGATTGCATCTAAAGTAGTTTCCTGTCCCCCACGTTTTTCCCTACACCTTTTCTTGTGTCCACGCCCCGCACCACCCCGCCCCGGCCCGCACCGCCCCGTTCCTTGCATGTAAATGAATCCCCCGCTTGTCCCTCTCTCTCTTTTGTGGTCGCGCATGGCTGATGTAGGGCCGTCCGGAGCGCACCTCAGCTCTCCCGGGTGGCTCCACGGCAGTGGGCCCACTGCCTCCAATGCCCGTGACATGGCGGCCCGGCATGCTGCCAACTCTCCCGGCCGACCTGCCCGCTCAGGTATGGTACAGCTGCTCTGCTCTGCATTGCAAGCACATGATATCCGGTATCGCTCTGTCTGTACAGCCCGCATGCGCGTGCATCATTATGCTGCATTTGCTTTTGGTACATTTTTGCGTTTGTTACATTTAGCTACCGGCTGGGTGCTGCCCGAGTGGCGGTCCTGCTCCCCCACCTGCTCATGGCCGTGATCATGGTTGTGGGGCTGTAACAGGGTTATTATATGCTAACAGCAACCGTGCGTTCTGTGTTCGTGTGTTTTGGTGACCTGGAATCGGCGTTCCGGGGCAGGGCCTCCCCTCAAACTATCATATGCCGGTTCGCCTCTTCCCGCCCACCTGCCATGCCTCAATTCGGTTTGCCATTTTCTACGCAACCTGTTGCCTAATCAGGCCATCCTGGATGACAGCAGCACCGTCTCTTTTTCGTGTCTAGAGGAGAATGACGACGGGCTGCCGTCGCCGGACGGCTCCGCCGCCCCGGATACTGCGGAGGTGGGGTCCAACAATGCCGCGGCGACGGCCGGGGCCGGCGGCGCTGCTCGCGGCGGCGGCGGCGGCGGCAACAGCCTACCCAGCGGCACTGACGGCGGCAGTCCCTACTACGGCCTGGTGACTTCGCTGCGTTGCCTTCAACGTCAGAACGCTGAGGAGGCCGCGTTCATCCGCGGCACCTTGGCGGCTCTGAAGCAGGTACCCGGTAGACGGTAGACATGCATGGGGCTAATATCCGTCTCATGTCCCTGGGTGGAGTTAGTTTACCTTGTAATAGTGGTTTGTTACCCTTCAACAATCATCATCAGCAGCAGCAGCGACAGCAGCAGCGACAGCAGCAGCGACAGCAGCAGCGACAGCAGCAGCGACAGCAGCAGCGACAGCAGCAGCGACAGCAGCAGCGACAGCAGCAGCGACAGCAGCAGCGACAGCAGCAGCGACAGCAGCAGCGACAGCAGCAGCGACAGCAGCAGCGACAGCAGCAGCGACAGCAGCAGCGACAGCAGCAGCGACAGCAGCAGCGACAGCAGCAGCGACAGCAGCAGCGACAGCAGCAGCGACAGCAGCAGCGACAGCGACACAGCGTAATAATGTACACTATTACGGCATAAGAATGTACTAATAGCCGCAGCTTGGACTGTTTTCGATGGCGGCCCCGTCATGCAAGAGAGTGTGTGTATGTATGTATGTTTATGTGTGTGTATGTGTTAAGGATGGGATGTTGAACTATGCAACAATTGCCACAAACGTTTACCAGTGCCATTGCCATTCATACACGGACACCAGCTGTTGCGGGAACAATGACGGCCTTTGTTTAAATCACCAACCACTACGACGGCGTTCGCGCTCGTCCCTTGTCGTACGCCACAGGTGACCCTGGCGGGCTTTGAGGACGTGGGGGAGGTGGAAGTCCTTCCCGGACTGCCCAGAGTCTGGTCGAGTCAAGGGACTCATGGACGCGGGGCGCTGGGCTCGGTGGCGGCGGCAGGCAGCAGCACCACGGCAACGGTCGCCTTCGCCGCCGCTGGCTCCACGACTGGCGGCGGCTGGAGTCAAACCAGCGCCAGCAGCATCGTTTGTCCCGCTGTGCCGCATGGCCACCTCGCGTTTCATGCCGCCACTCACGAAGCGAACCTCGCGGCTATCTTTGGCGGCGGTGGTGCTGCCAGGTGGCACTCGCCGGCGGCGGCGGCGGCGGCGCTGAGACCATTTCAAGGTTTTGGTCCTGCTGGTGGAGCGGGCGGCGGCGGCGGCGGAATAGTGTCGGCGTCATCGCCAGCCGCCTGGAGTCGGCCGCCAATGTCTGAGTTGCTTGGCACGTTGCCGACACCGTCATGTAGCAGCCCGGCAGCAGTATTGGCAGGCAACGCGTTGCCGCCGTCGCGCCTTTGCCACCCACATTATCGCGACGCGGTTAACGGAATGCCTGGTCAGATCATGTACGGCGGCGGGGGCGAGGTGAGAATGCCTGGCTTATTAAGGATGCCGTTACGGCGACCGGTCCCGCCGCGCTATCCTCAGCAGCTACAGCTGCAGCTGCAGCGGCAACAACGGATAACAGGAACGTCGTGCTCATGGCAGCAGCAGCTGCTGCCGCAGCGACAGCCATCATACGGCCACATGGTGCCGCCGTCGCCGTCGCCGTTCCCTTGGCCGCAGCCAGCTGCTGGCCCAGGGTACGCTGAGCTTCTACAGCAGATTTTTGCGCGCGCGACGGTGGCACAGCAGCAGCTCCGACAGCATCAGGAGCAACAGCGACAGCAGCAGCAACATCATCTGTTGTTGCAGACTGCCCTCCAAGGTTTGCAGCAGATTGAAAGTCCAGTAATGGCGTACACGCCGTCAGCGCCATCTACACAGGAGCCATTGCCGGTACGGCTGCTGCAGCAACAACAGCAACTCGTGCCGTCGTGGTTGTCGACACCCGCCGCCGCCGCCGCCGCCGCCGGGCGCCCCCTAGGAGGTTCAGGGGATGATGACCTACAGACGTCACCCGCAGCCGCCTCGACACATGTGGAAACGTCCACGGGTATTGCGTCCCGCAACTCACATCCGCAGCTCCGGAACCAACACCCACCATTTGTAGTGGTTACGGAGCAGCATGGAGGCGACCGGCGGGAGAGGATAGTGGAGAAGATATCTGATGTCCCGTTGCACGAATCTAAAACTGGACATACAGCGGGTGCCCTGACTCGAAAGGGTCTAGGCCATCCGGGCATACCCGACGGCACAGGCGGTGATGATGACGATGGTGGTGGTGGTGGTGATGGTGATGATCGCGACGGCAGCGACGGCGGCGCCCGTGCATTGAAACAAGTGCTTCGGGACGAGCTGGCCGACGCATCTAGGGCAGCCGATGCGTGGAACATTTCCGACGCCGGCGGCAGCACCGTACACGCCGTCTCGCCGAATGCAGATGTCGTACATCCCCACTGCGATGATGGCGGCCCCCTTAGCGTTGAACCTGGCGGCTGCGGAGACAACGGATGGATGCGGGACGAGGATGCTGATGACTTTGCAGGGCTGCTGGGACGTGGTAATTCCAAGACCAGCAAACCATCTACAGCAGAGGTTTCGTTGAGGTTTGGGAGCGCCGGCAACGGCAGCGCCGGCAACGGCAGCGTCGGCAACGGCAGCGCCGGCAGATGCGCAGCAGTGGCGGCGGCGGCGGCGGCGGCGGCAGTAATCACACGGCTTTCAGAGGAAGCCAGCAGCTACCCGGCCGTCGCAACAGCGGCGGCGCCGCTGCCTGCGGTAGCCACGGCAGCGGAGGCAGAAGTGGCGGCCTTTGCGCAACAGCTCCGTACTGATCAGCGGCAGGTGTTGGCGCAGCTTGTCCGGGAGAAATGGTCTCCGTTTAATTTCCCAACGCTTACCGGGCAATGCGCAGTACCGCTGGTGCAGCCGTCGCAGCCGTCACCGCTGCCAGCACCGCCAGCGGCGGCTGTGGCGCAGTCCGGGAGCACATCCCAACGTACCCTATCTGCCCTGGCGGCCGCAATCGCTGCCGGCGGTGGCGACGGCACCGTGTTGTCAGGCGCTGCCGAGGCATTGCAGGCGTCAGAGCTCCACAATGTGCCTTTTTGGCCGGCGTCGACAGTGTCGATGGCTGCGCAGCAGTCGTACGACCCGCCGTTCTCATTGTACTCGTCCAACGCTTCCGCCTGTGGCGCCAGCGTCGGCGCTGCGATGCCACTCTGGTCGTCATGCAGCGGCAGGGCGACGATGCCGGGGGGCCCGGCACCTGCATTCCAGGACCCAATACCGGCCAGCGATGCCAACAGCGCTGCTGCTAGCTGCGGCGGCGGCGGCGCGGGAAGCGTCGAACCGTCGAAATCCAGCCTCGCGCCGCCGTCACCCGCACGCAACCGCAGCCCGGGTAGCACTGCCAGCAGCGCGAGCCGGAGCTTCAGTGCAGCGGAGGCGTGCGCGTACAGCAGCGGCGTTGGTTTCCGTACAGTCCGTGGCACCCCGCAGAGCATGCATCCTCAGTCGCCCCTTAAGTCGCCATCGCAAGCCGTCGAAAGCGACAAAACGGCAACGTACGACAGCATCTCGATTGAGCAATCGCTGCCGCCGGCACCGCCAGCGCCCCGAGACATCCCATTGCTGCCGCAGATGCAGCCGGGGCCAATGCTAGTTCCGTGCGAACAGCAGAATTACGAGCCTTATCATCATCAGCACCTACGCCTCGCACAAACTGAAGGGTCGATTCCAGTTGCGGCTGCGAGCGGGGCAGCTCCGACCGGTTATTACGCTGCCGCCGGTGGCCCCGCGGCCGCCGCCGCGGAGGAGGCCACTGCGGCGATGGCGGCGACGGAGGAAACCGGTGCTCTTGCATCCCCGCCTGCGGCCGCTGCCTTTACCGCAGGGCTATCGACCGCCGATATGGAGTACGTGCGGTCATTGGTAGGCCGCAAGTGGTCGCCTTTTTTCGACTTGGAGGCGAGCCTGAGTGGTCTGAATGTGCCGCCGGGCCATTCTCCCGTACCGCCACCGGCTCCCCCGGGGATGGCTGTGATGTCGGGGCAGCCACCTGGGCAGCAGCCGACCCACGGGTCGGGAGGTGGGGTGGTATTAGGGGATGGTGTAGGGGTAGCGCATCTGGCGAACACGTAATCTGCGGGTCGGAACCCGTGGAGTTAGTTACAATAGAGAGTGAACGGTTATAGTGCAACTCCCTAACGAACGTCATCCGCACAGCACTGTGGGGGGCCTGCCGTACACGGCCAGGCATAATCGGGCTTTTAGGCTAGCAGCTGACCCACGGGTCGGTGGTGCCAGGCGAGCTGGCAAAACTCCGACAGGTCCGTGCGGCACGCCCTCGCCAGAGCCGTAGCCGTCTTAAAGCTGCATGCGGCAGTCTGTTCCGAAGCAGCATTAGAAGTGTGGTTACACACCCTCATCCGCAATGCCAACCAAAAGTACTTGTATGTTTGGAGCCGCTGAGCATGCGGCGAGGGCAGGAAGGTGGGTTCAGGTGCGTGGTGAAATATTGCCTCGCTGCTGGAGCTCTGCAACGAGGAGAGCTCTGCGATGAGAAGACACGACACGATGAGAAAGAGAACACAGCTTCCGCACGCCCGGGTGTGGCGGCGTGCAGTGCAGCTTGCGGCGAGTTGCGCCGGTTGCGCCGGGACTCGGTGCGCTACGTTGCCGACCCCTAGAGACACACACACACACATACACACACCCCAAAACTATGACCTCATTTCCCTCTTCTGCGGTGAGGTGGGCTGACATCCAGTCCTCCTGAATGCGCGTCCATACGCCGTGGTCATATCCATTAAACCGGCTGAAGCAACAGCAGCAGCAGCAAAAAAAGCTGCTGTAAAAACACGAGCCATAGCAGCTCCAGCCGTGACATATACATATGTTTATAGCTGCTACGGCCGGAGCGCTACATTAGCAGCAGAGCCACCCCGGGGCATGAAGCTAATGACACACGAATCGAGGGACTCACTAACGGCTGAACTTACCAACGGATTGACTGACGCTACCAATGACCTAACCGGCAAACGAAGCGACCCGAAGGTGAATGGGCAGGGGGGGGTAAGGCTGGCTATCTGGGTGCCAGCTGTTGGCCTGCTGGACTTCAACAAAACGAGGACACATCTTGTTGTGCAGCACCCGCATGTAGCACCCCCATGCGTCCGTCCTCTGATACCCACCTTGTACTTTTATTACCAACAAACAGCCTGGTGTCAGTCACCTGTCGATCTGCTCATCTCGCGCAGTTTGTTTTTTCTTCGCCCTGCGAGCTACTACGGCTACGGATCCGTGAGACTCCATGTTTTTGTCTTTGGGCCACGATCGAGCCATGCGGTTAGAGTCATGTGTGTGTGTGTGTGTGTTGCACCTTCTGGAGTTGAAACGTTACTCTCCGAAGGCGTAACCTGGTTCCCCATATGGGTTGGGGAAGGCGGGTTCTGATACATAAGCTGGCTGTGGCCTGGGCGTTGTAGAGGCCGTACCTTGCTGTGCGCGGGCGCATATACGTGTATCGCTTTATATGGGCTTTGTAAGGCTGTAGGGGCGTTGCATGCGGGTGTTTTAGCTTTAGGTCATTACGTCATCCCAAACCACACTTTGTAGGTCATCGGGATGGAGCCTTGCATGGCCTTCGTCATGTGTCTTCTGTCTGTCTGTCTGTCTGTCTGTCCATCTGTCTGTGTTTTGTGTTGGGAGGATAGGATACTGCTGATGGGGAGAGGGTTGGGGGCTATATGGGCCTTTTATACTGCGCGTCATTCGCTCCTTCCGTAGGCGCACGGGTGTGGGGATGTGGTCCTAGTTGAAGGGCGAAGTGGCGTTAGGGGCTCCCTAGGGTCCATGCAGATTACGATACCTCAATTTTGCTTTGGGGTTTGTTGTGGATTGGCAGCAGCAGCAGCATCTCTCGTCGTCGTCATCGGCATCTCTCTCTAGGGTTTAGGACGACCGTGCGTAGAAGTTGTTGGGTCACCTGCGGGTGTACGGATCACGGAAGTGGTCAATGCGTTTGAAGTCAAGTCATCAGTCCCTGTGCAAAGCTCCCTTTGTCCTTTGCTAACGCCCGACAGTCGGTCGCGTTGTAGACTTTAGTTCTAGTTCGACAGGCTGCTGAACGGTGTGATGATTGATGTTCTTTGGGAAGTCATGGGCGTGTATATGTGTACGTTATTACACGTTCGGTATGTTGCAGCAACTGCCGGGTGTACGGCAGCTGTGACGACGAACAGCGGGGATTTAAGCCAACTAAGCTTTTCCTGCCTATATGCATGTATGTATCTATGAATGTATGTATTTCTGTTGCTCATAGATATATATATGGGTATGTGTGATAGTGTCTGTGTAATTGTGTATGAAATTGCAGATGCGTACGCGAAAATGCATGTGCACACGCGTTTATATCGCAGCTTTTTGCCAATTTGCGCTTACTATTGAACCCGAAACGGATGGCCTTATGTGTTAATGGTGACACTGGTTTTTGGGGGGTTATGTGGGGGGATAGATGAGGGAATTGGCGTGTGGGCTATATCGTGATGTTATACATGGTCATGCGTAACTCGATGCAAGCCATGGAGGAGAACTCATCATATCAGAGAAGTTTAGGCCCCTTCACCCACGACAGCAGTCGCGGCTTCTAGGCTATCAGGTGCTGCAAACCCTATATCTACCTTAGCTAGGCAATAAGGCGGCTGCCTACCCTACCATCAGCGCGCCGCTCCTGCGTTGCTTTCTTCCTTTCTTTCTGCCTTCCGGCCTTCCTTTACCTCTCTTAAATATAAGACGGAAAGGTAGTGGAGCACCCGGGTATCGATCGGGGCGTGCGGTTACCAGCGGTTTTATAAAGTGCTGTAGATTTAGAAGTGTTGCGAGGTTTTATAACTTTTAAGGCGGGAAGCTCGAACGGACGCAAACCCGTAACGACAGTGGGCGTTGAGTGTAGTATGTCTGTCTGCCTGTATGTATGTATGTTGTTACAGGGTGGTTAACTTCGCCAGCGGCCCCCTTTCCCGGGGCAGTCCCTGCTCTCCCCTGCTAGAGGGGCACCCTAATCCGTCACCCCATCCGACTTCAGAATGTATTCGTTGGGTTCGGCAACTCACCACCAGCATCCAACCAAATCTAGCGGATCAACGGCGCATCAACTTAGTTCCTGGTCAGCTCGCAAGTTGATATTATCACGTCCTACACCGTCCATATGATGGGGGGCCACCTCCCATTTCATCACTCCTCAATCACCCGAGGAGCTGGCAGGCGGATTTGAACCCGGGTCGACTGGATCGACTGGGAGCAGAAGTCAGGCCTTAACTTCTGCCAGCCGCCTGCCACATGTATGTATGTATGCATGTATGTATGTATGTAGGTCTGCCTGTCTGCCTGTATGTATGTCCGTCTGTATGTACGTGTTGAAGAGTGGCTCTTATCATTTGGTAGTGACTACCTGGTGCGTATTGGGCGCCATTCATGGCCATACATACATAAATATATACGAGCATGCGGCGGCAGGCTGGATAGCCCCTAAAATACCTGTTTTCGCGTATGTGAACATTACGTATGTGCGTTTGCGTATTTCCTTGGTGCGTTTGCGTATTTCCCGCATTACCTGCTAGGGGTCGCATTACCCGCTATGGCATGTGTTGCATGCGGGGGTGCCTTTGCCGGGGGTTGGGCCGCTCATGCTACAAGGGATTGGCTAGGTGGCGTAGCAAGTCAGACGATGACGACCCCTTCTGGCCCGTTTGGGTTTCCTTCACGGCTGGCGTCTTGACCTTCTCGATTGCTCTGCCTTTATGTCTCAACCTGGTTTGTCTGTCTGTCTGTCTGTTTGTCTGTGGGATTGTAAACTTCCGACAGGGACGCACACGGGGTACGGCGCTACAAGGAACTTTCCAAGTGGCGTCCGCGACACCCCTTCCCTTAACACTCGTTCGGTAACACGTAACCTACGGGCACTTTTTCCTTACTGTGTCCTTGCTTGGTGGCCACTCGTCTCGTTCCGCCTCATCGCATCCTACCACCTCGGTAGTTGGGTCGGATGCTGGGTTCTATTCTTCAACTACTTTTGGCGTGTTTTCAACTCCTTGGCTTGCTTATGAGGTCCTTGTGCACACGTACCGGAAATCAGACCGGCGTGTTCGCATGATGCTTTGGTGTGCATGTTGGTAGATGTGAGGGTCATCGTACGATGTTTCCCGTAGTGATGCGGCTGGTATTGCGGGTATTGCTGGTACTGCTGGTACTGCTGGTGGTGGTGGTGGTGGTGGTACTGCTGTTGTTACGCTGCTGGTGCTTGTGCTGGTATTGTTATTGTCGTTATCATGCCATATAATCAAAAATATGTTGTGCGACGCAATTTCCTGTCATGTACAGCATGCAGCTCGGATCATGATCATCCGACATATAGTTCGAATAATAATGTGCCAATCGGCCGTTTTATATTCACAAGGTTTATATGTATATGTCTGTCTGTCTGTTTGTGGATCTCCTCTGTATGTCTATTGGTCATTCCGTCGTCAGCCTGTCTATCTGTATGCCTGTCTGCACATACATGTGTCTGTCTTAAACATACATGTGTCTGTCGTACGCTTATGTATGTATGTATGTATGTATGCATGTATGCATGTATGTATGTATGTAGTCGGACGCTTCAGCTGGCGGTTAGGTTTCCCGGCTTCGTGGAGGGTCTTAGTAGGTTGGAGAAGAGAGACGGAGGGGGGAGGGGAGAGAGGAGGAGAAGAGTACCTGGGTGGTCTACGTCCATGCAGCCGCGTTCTTGCGGATGCATTCACGCTGTGCTAGTGATAGTAGCCCCAGCCCCAGCTGCGAGCCAACACCTGCCAATAGTTTTAGAAGTAGCAGGGGTAGTACAGGAGCACCAATAAAGAGGTGGAGGACCAGCGGGGCAAGGGGGAGGCGGAGCAAAGATGTATGATGAACGGTGTGTGTACGAATACCGTACACGGCTATTTGAATTCGAGTATTTTGGCCAGTGCCGCATGGCGGCCCAGTTGAATAATAGGCGGTCATGGGTTGTAAAGTAATGGCGCGATGTTGGCGAGGGTGATGTTGATGGTGCTTATGATCATGGCGATCATGGCGGTGGAAACCATGTGGAGTAGGGCGGTGGCCGCCATAATCTCGCATGTCGCTGAAGTCCTGAAGTCCGATGCCTTATGTCGCCTGACCGCTTTTGAGCACGGGCAGGGGCTGGGGCCGCTGCCCCCCCCTGCGCGCCTGTGGGGGCCCAAGGCGAGGTGGAGCAGGGATGCAGGGATTACGAAGCTCTCTAGTTGCCCCCGCGCAAGTTTGCCCCCAGCTCTGTTATGATGGACTAATAGGGTAAAGGTGTGTCAGGAAGTTATGGAGGTGAACGTCGAAGGGTTTTTTCACTAGCTATCTTGGTACAGGTGGTGGCTGACAGCGGTCGGGGACACGGACCTATACATCGTGGTGGCTGACAGTGTGATATCGGACACTCCCAAGCTTTCCGTCGGCGACCTTACCTTTACAATCTAGCTGATGTTTACATGCCATGCTGGGCCATTCCGAGTTTGAGGTGCACATCAAACACCTTGGCCACGCTTTTGGATTTTAGTCTGCCAGCAACAGTGTCGACTAACAGCCTAACTAACTTGCCAGCAGACCTGATCGCGCGGCGCCTGATTCGAGCTAAGAATGACGAGTTTCCCAGTAGTTGTGACTGTGTGCGGCTTTGGAGTCTGGAAGATTACCTTTCCACTCACGCCCTCTAGTCAGCGGTGCCTCATCCGGCAGCTGCGTGGCGCCTGATATGGTTCACATATGCACATTGAATGATTCCTAGCTGCCTGGATGTGCCGTGGGTGCTACGGTAAGCGTGGACGATTTTGCCGTGCAACCAACTTGCTGGAAGGTTTGAAACTGACGTCATGATGTAATCCTATCAGTCTTAACACGCGATAGCTAACGCACTACAGGGCCATTACGTCGGCTGACTTGCAAATCAGTTAACTGCTAGCTAGAAGGATGACCGAGCTCTCGATAAGCAGCCCAGTCTCACCCTCACTTTATCCAACTCTTGCGACCGTTCTACTTGGAAGTGGCTTGTGTATGACTGGAAGCTTCTTTCTCTATGAAGTGACGAAAACAAAGAGCAATCGAGCACTCAGATCAGAGCTGCTGCTGGCTTTCATTTCGGCATTGCTGCTCGGTTTCGGGACATTATTCCTGCTCTTGTGGGTTGGAGTTTACGTATGAGTATGTTTCAAATACTGGCGCTTTGGGACCTGAAGAACAAGCATGCTCCGAAGTGGTTTTCCGGGCTATCCTCGGCGTCGTAAGCAGGATGCAGACTTGAGGATAGGAACTGGCGCTTTGTTTGGAGTACTCCTTTCCTGCGCTGTCGGAGTTGAGTCGTGGAGTTCATTTGGTGGCCACGGTGACCCTCCTGTCTGTTCAGTTGTTTTGCCTTCGACCGTGTAACAGTATGAATTTTGGCATACCATGAGTCGCCCGTGCCCCGATGTCACAACTTCTTCAGCAGCTGTGGTATAGGCAGTCCAGCCCGCGCTTCTCACTTCTGGACAGCTCCGAATGAGGGCCCCACCATGCGACTGGGAGGCGACGCGAAGGCGGCATTGACTCATCGTGAACTAGCACGTGAAACGCAACCGGGGATGCGCTTGCAGCGCAGTGCCACTTGCAGCGCGGCCATACAGACGCAAGTCGCAGCACAGCCCTCCCTGGTCAAAAGACTGGACATGAGGGCACATCCAACGCAAACCCCTGTTCAACAGAGATTCCTGGAGCCCCCCCTTACGGACTCGCAGCGATGGCTGAACTCGCAGGTGCTGGACTACGCAGCCCCAACCATGATGTGCGCCCTATCCAATCGCCTTATCCTTATCCGACGACACGTCATGACGCTCCAGACGATCAAGGTCCGCAGAACAAGGAGCAGCCTCTTACAGCCCCAGGGCCTGCTAGATGTGCAGTGGCTGGGGCACGGCCAAAGGGAATGCACCCAGTGGTGTAACAGCCTGCGTGTAGCAATCCCAACGCAACTTCGTCCATACCAGCAGCTGCGCAGAAACGTCTAATCCCGCCACTGTTCTTTCCCATGAACAGTGCATATGCGCCCCTTTTTCTGCGTGTCCACCCACAGACACAGGCAGACAGTTAGGAAGCGGCGAGAGAGGGAAGGGGAAAGACAGGCGAATGGGCGCGGTCCGCCGAGAAGGATGGCAACAACGCAAGCGGATCTGGGCTGGGGGTGCGTTTTAACGCGGTTAAACATGATCTGAGGCAAGAGTGAAGTGTCAGTTGCTGCAGCGGCGGTCATCCAAACGGTGCCAGCAGCAGCTAAACCGGCGAAGATTGGCGACTGGGGACCAGCGTGAGTTCCGCTGTCAGGTCTGTGGACTCGGTAGTCCCACATATTACGGCGCGCGCCGCATCCCCCTCTCTCGCTTCGCAGCAACTGCCGGCTCAGCTCTGCAATGAGCAACGCAACTCCTCAGCAGGGTATAACTGCTCATGATCGCTTACTTAGAAAGCTATCTACTGGACTGGATGTACTAGAGCCGGTTTGTTTAATATTTGCCTACCTAGCTTACCTCTTAATGCACAAAGTCTGATCCAGAACCTCAGTGTTGCGGACCTCTTTACGAAACCTGAAATTGGAGTCGAAAGTGCCATCGGGAAGATTGGGGGTGTTACATCCCGTAGTTCTGTATCTATGGCGCGGATCAGGAGTGCGCTATGGAAAACCGCACAAAAGAGTGTTCAGGATACTAATAGCCAGTTTACAGCCTTTGTTAGAAAAGAAAGCTGAAGAAACACCTGATCAATAGCCAACTTGATCATAGGAGGTGTCCCAGGGCCCAGACGTTAAAATTAAACGGTTCTCCAAATGAGTACCTACGGAAGCGTTTTTCAACACATGCGCAACTGTTTTGTCATCGCTCATGCGCACACACATAATTAGTCGCGCAGATGGCAGTCACACACAAAACATTTTTCCAACTTAAGCAGTACGGTCCATAGCGTATTGATGCCCGGTACCGGCGCCGACAGACGACCAATCACCTGGACCGACATCGCAGTTCATGCCGCCGGGCGGCAGTCAGCGACCCCTCAACGAAAGACAGCTTTACCACCGTCCTTACGAAAACCATCCGGACAAAAAAGATGTTCTTCAGTAACAAGATCATACCGACAAGTTATAAGTGCCTCTGAAAGCCAAGCATATCGTCACGTGCGTACCTCACCAGCATGCAACACACACGGGCATGTGCGAGAAAGTATATCCCAACAACCGGGACGAGTCATTGTTTTGACCATGCCGGTACATGACGCACAAAGAATCTCCCCATCCCCTTTAAGCTTGGCCCACGTTACATGCAAAATCTTCCAATCTTTTGGGCGGCTTCGTGCCGCAAAGGACTCCATAATTCCACATTTTGCCAGGCGCCATAACGATAGAATCCAGCGGTAGAGATGGAGAAGCCGCTGCCTTCTCCCCTCTTGCTACTCCTCAGTCTCACACAACTTTAAAAAACCTTCATCCCATGCAAGAGCTCATCCCAGGGGATGCTTCACACAAAACCCACACCCCACAGCGACCACAAGAAAGGAAAGGGATATATACGACGACGAAATACCATAGATTCCCCGTCCAACCACAGATCAGCCCCGCCGCGAATGCTAGCCCGACAACGTTGATGTGCTCCCTCCTCTCCATCTCTCCAACTCTTTTCATACCGCTTGTTAAGCCCTCCAATCACGATACAAATGCGCACATGCGCGCCTGTGACCCTCATTATGCTGTTACCCAGAATGGTCCACAACGAGGAGTATCACTGCTTTATGGCCCCTGGCAATGTGGGCACTGTATGTCAACAAACAGACAAACAAACACGCACTCATTCACAACGTGTGCATGACCGCGAAAAGCCGCACGCGACTTCGCAGGGTTCTTCCTCACTACCACCCGCCCAACAGCCTACTGGCAGCTGAGCTCACGAGAGCGAACGCCTCCGTCGCACCCGGGCTGCGATTCTTGTCTGGATGCACAAGCAAGCTCATGCGTCGGAAGGCAAGTCGTACAGCGTCTCGCGACGCGCCGGACTCCAACCTGAGCACCGCTGCCGCCTGAACCGCCGGGCCCAGAGCCCTGCAGGCCAGAACCCGCCGTACTTCCCATGCAGGCATTGCCAGCTCCACGACGGCGCGAAGCCGCCGGATACGCTCCTGCCCCGCAGCAGTCCGGCCTAGGCACTGCGCGGCGGCCGCCAGGGCAACCGCGGCAGCAGGTAACACAGCCGCAGCAGACGCGGCTGCATCGGCAGCTGATGCGCGGGCGCGGCCTCCGCGCGCGGCCACCGCCGCCAGCGGCGGCGGCTTCGTCGCCGCTGCTGCAGCAGCAGCTACTGCAGCATCAGCGCATTCCTCTATGCCCAGGTACGGTGCCGCCGCGGTTCCCGCTTCCGCCAGTATTCCGAGCAGGCACTTGACACGTGCGCCGTTTAGAATGGGCGTGTCGGCGAAAGCGAGACTGCCACCGCCGCGCGCACGACAGCCCTCCGGCAACGGCACCCATTGCGCCGGGGGCCCCTTAGCGGCCACCACGACATCCGTCGCCGCTGCCGCCGCCCCCCCGGCTGCTAAAGGCGAGTCGCCATGGTAACGCTTACGGACCTGCTTTCCCGGAGAGGGCCATCGCCCCGTGGTGGGCCGCTTGTCGCCAACGGCAATTTGCACTGGGCAGAAAGGCGGCGGCGTAATGCGGTTGCCGTCTGTCCACTTCGCCGGTGCAGCCGCTGCTGCTTCCACCTTGAAATCACCCCCTGGTGCTGCTGCTGCTCCTCGTGGCGCGTCCATTTCAGCGGCTGTAGCTGCTCCCCCAGTGACACCCCCGGCGGGCGCGGCGCCGCCGCCATTATTGGTGTCGATACCGCTGTCGTATGATACAGGTTGTGAGGAAGCTCCTCGAAAAGGATTTGCGGACGGCAGTGCACCTTGCGGGATCAGGGGCTGGCTTGCTGCGGCGTCGCGGCCGCCTACGTCGTGCTGTTGTCCGCCCCAGCACCGCGGGGCCGCTGCCAGTGCTGCCTTTGACAGGATCCGCTTACATCCACTTCCGGGTTGTGACCCGCAGACAGCGCCTTCGCCGCCATCATCAGGGGCGACAACCGGATGCTCGGTGGGAAGGAAATCCCGGACCAGGGTACTGCCGCAACGAATGCCGTCGTCGACAACACCACGACTGCTGTCTTCACCAATGCTGCGGCCCGCAGCCTCTTCAAAGCGGCGGACAACGAAGGCCGCTGATGGAGGTCGAGCCGCTGCACCGGGTGCCGGCGGCCCCCGGTGTTGCTTGCGCTGTCGGCCCTCTTCTTCCGGCTCCTCCCCGCCCTCGACATCGCCGCCTCCTTGCTGTCGGGATGCGGGGCAAGACAGGACGGGACAGGGGAAAGACACACCAGGTGGGCACAGTTGGACAAAAATACAACACATGATAAAATCGTCGTTGGCGCCACGTACCAGGGGGCATGCCGCACAAAATATCCGGTGGTAATCAAATGCATATTGGAGTTTGGGGAATCTTTTCCAAACCCGAAATTCGTTGTGTGTTGGGACACTTCTGCATGTTATTTACCATTCCGAGAAAGAAAAAACAACGAAAATTAACGATAAGGCAGAAAGAACCCGTGCACGTGTGTGCAATTATGCAAAAGCAGCGCGACGATAAACCAAAAGAAACCAACGCAACCATCATCACCAACATCACCACGCATCATCATCATCCCTCCTCCCATCCCCAAAACGCACATAATGAGGATGTGCCACTCCCAGGATGCCCAGCAGCTGCTGCCGTACACGCAAAGCAGACGAGGATGATGATAATGATGACGCATTCGCCCACAAGCCGCTCTCTTCAATTCGCGGCCATTGGCAACTGGAAACACTGCAGAGCGGGGCCCGACCATCCTGCGCAGTAGCGGCGGCGCTTCCGGGTCCCCCTCCGCCTTCACCACCACCATTGCCACAATCATCATCATCAGCAGCAGCAGCTGCGGCGCACTCCGGCTCCGCTGCCTCCGCCACGTGACGGGCCCGCGCCTGTTGTACGGCTGCAGCCTCCGTTGCCGCCGCTTCTTCCCTGGCGGCCAGAAGGTGCGCATGGTTGCGGCAGATGTCCAGGACCTCCTGCCCGTACCGCCGTACAAAAGGACGCGGCATCCCAGGTACCTCCTCCTCCAGCCCCACCACCGACGTGGGACATCGCGCCGCCACCTCCGCCAGCAGCCCCAGACGCAGCAGGGCTTCCGGAGTCTTCCGTACGGACCGAGCACGCCGCGTACGCCACTCGTCCAGTGCCTGTAACAAGATCAGCGCGGGGCTGCCGCTGCCGCTGCCGTTGCTGCCGCCGCCATTGCTGCCGCCGCCATTGCTGCCGCCGCCATTGCTGCCGCCGCCGTTGCTGCCGCCGCCATTGCCGACCCTTCCAACTGGTCGCGCCTGCGACCGCGCACCTGCGGCCGCCTTTCCCTCGGACTCTGGATGGCGATCTTCACCACCACCGCCGCTGTCATCGCTGTGGCCGGCCAATACGGTGGTTGCTGGCGTCCTTGTCGTCGTCGGCTGTTAGGCGGGAGGGACGGGAGGAGTGAATTCCGATGGTGTGTGTGTGAGTGTGTATTACACCTTCAGGAGTTGCGTCACCCTCCAAGGATGGGGTGTGTACGACCCGGGGGACCTCGGGGAGTGGGCCGACAGGCAACGGCTGTAACCGAAAGAACCGTACTACTAATAACAAAAAAATAATAACACACAATATAATAATAATAATAAAAAATGATAATAATAATGGCAAACGCACGAAAGAAAAACAATTACTACGCATCATGAGCTTAATATACTCGACCCCCCGCTAATCGGTCAGAACTAATTGTAGAGGCGGTGCGCAGTCGGGTGCGCGTAACCAACTACCCAACTAATCAACCAACCTGCCACGCAGCGTCTCCGTACATACACAATGTCGACTCTTCCTTAGTTGCCCCTGGACCCCTGCGCCCCATTGCCGCCGCCGCACTTGGCCCACGCCGATGTACTGTTCGGAAGTCAAAGCGCTTACGCAGAGGCGCCGCCAGCAGCCGGGCGGCGGTCCTGAGCTGCGGCGGTACAGCGGCCGCATTCACACCAGCGGCCGCATGTGCGACCGTGGAGGCCGCCGCCGCCGCCGCCAGGGCGCGCTTCATGTCATCCAGCAATGCCGTCGATGAGCGGCAACGGCCCAGCGGCTTGCCAGTCGCGCCGCGCCTCCGCGTCATTCGGCGACCCCCCCAGTCCGAATCGCTGTCTGACTCGTCATCTGAAGACGAGGAGAGGTCCTCGCTGCTGTCGTACATCTCGTCCACCACTGCTGAGCCATGCACGCGGCACTGCTGCTTGTCCACCGCCCGCGATGCTGGCCGCTGTACGACAGCACCGCCACCATCGCTGCTGCTGCTGCTGCGCCGCTTTTGAGCTCTATCAGCAGCTGTTGTACCACTGACTGCAACAGCCTGACGCCAGTTGCCGCGACCGCCGCTACTGCTGCCACGGCCGATGGCCCCTCCAGCAGACTCCGAGCGCATCCTCAACAGGAGCCGCGCAGTAGTAGTCTTAGGGCCTCTGCGTGGCGGCGGCAGCGGCGGAGCCGCCCAGGCCCCCAAGCTGTCCATCTCGCCAGTAGTGGCAGCTGGCCGCCCCGAAGGACTTTTCGCTGCTGGTTGCGGCAACCCCATCGTCGCTGTCGTCGTCACCGTTGGTGGCTGCAGCGGCGCCCCCTCGCCGTTGCCCAACGAGCCAGCCCTCACCGCTGGTGAGTCGGCCGCTGGCTGCTGCAGCTGCTGCGGGTGCAGCAACTGCCCATTCCCCTCCAGGACCGGCTGCTGCTCCAGCTGCTGTTGTACCGGTGGCGGCATTCCGCCGCGGCACGCGGTTCTGGGATCACGGTTGCGGCACAGCCGCCGCAGCGTCTCCATACTCCAGGAGGCCGCCGCAGCCTCCACCGCCGCCGCCACCTCCGTTCCCACTGCCCCTGCTGTCGTCGCTGCCGCCGGGGCCGCCACGGTCGCCAGCGAAACTGCCATCGCCGTGTCGCTCGCGAATGATGGACCGATTGATGAAGCCGCTGCCGCCGTCGTCACCGGCCCTGCCCTGGATGCAGCTGCAGCAGCAACAGCAGCAGCAGCCGCTTTTGCTGTTGCTGCTAGTGTTCGCTCGTGGTACTTCACCTCGGCGGCCTTTCCCAACACAGCTGCCACCGGCTCTGCCTCCACACAGGAGTTGCCAGGATTGCATTCCACATCCTGCTCCTGATCCCAGCCCCGGTACGGATATGGGTCCTCAATGTGCTCCCTCGTATTCTCTCGTTCTTGCTCCGGAACCTGCACACCATTTCCGCCTGCACCATTACGACAGCAACTATTGCCTCCACTACGCGTCAGCACTGAAAGTGACCCGTGGCCGCAGCAGCAGCAGCAACAACGGATCGGGGACGTCACATCAGCTGTCTGGATCTGGTCGGGTCTAGGAGAACCCTCGAGTGCTGTCAGCGCAATTCCGGATGCAGCCGGGCTTCCCCCGGCAGTGACGGCAACAGCGTGTGGACTCAGGGACTCCGATCCCATTGGGACCAGGATGGCAGTTGTGGCGATGTACGATGGCCCAGCGGTCTTGACCGCCGAATCCTTGTCACCGCCATCGACTTCGGGGTTGAGGCTACCATGGGTAACGGCGCCGCCTGTGCTGGCTTTTTCAACGGATGTGGGTTTGCCAAAGGAAATTGGAGCTCGGCAATCGCCAATCTGCGTAGCGGGGTTGCCAACGCCATTCGCGGATTGTGGCCATGGCAAGCTGGGCTGCAACCGATGGCCTGCAGTTCCGGAGCCGCTGCTGCAGTTGCCATAACGACATGTGAAAATGGCGGCATTTTCTTCTGGAACGGAGGCGGTGTGCTCTGGGGAGCTCGGGATGCTGCTGCGGAACGCCAAGCTGCTTGCTGAACTTGCTGGGCCCATCAGGTCTGCGACTGGCTGAGATTGGTTCGGCAAATTCACGCAGCCATGGACATCTGGTGTAGGCTCGGAAGCCACAGGCCCACTTGCAAAGGCGCTTTGGCGCACGTCTCGAATTACGGCCGCGGCATCCACCCCAACTTGTGCGTCGGTGTCATCTATGCCGATGCCGTCCGCCTCATTTGTAGAGGTGCAACCAAGCACAGCAAGCCGACGTGCACAATCCTTCCCGCCTTGCGAGTAGGATTTGCGAGCGCTCCAGTATTCCGAGGTGTTCGCTGCACGAAAGGGTGCTACCCGGCGCACAATCACTGTCCGTGGAGGCGATGTCTGAGGGTCAATAACAGGTTCATCCGGAATTGCCCATAGGAGGTCCTGCGAAGGATATGATAGGATACCAGTGACGCTAAATTTGCAGCATGGCAAAATCTCAGGCTGCCTATGATTGAAGGTCATACAAACCAGCACTAAAATGGAATCTCACCCAGGCGTCTGGGGAGCCTGCCAAGTACATTGAGCCTAGGGCTTGTAGCCGCCACGGCGCCAAAGGGCATGAATCCGCAATATTGCGCAAAACGTCTGCTTAGAATAAATGCGGTCGCGGTCGCGGTCGTGTTCCTATTACTATTGGGTGGCACGGTGGTCTTGGGAAGTACTGGAAGGAAGGCATGGCAGTAATGGAGCTTGCGGCACCGGAAGACGCGAGGGAGGCAAACTCAAAAAAATTCGACTGAAGCAGCATGATGTTGAAGACTGTTTGTGCACAGATGTCAATATCGGTATTAGAGGGGTAAATTTTGGAAAGGCGGCGATATTCTTTTGGAGGCAGTTGCAACCGGAAGCGAGTACAGAGCGCGATTGAGGTTATAACATAACGTATAGAGGAAATGTACAAAGTTTCTAACAGCCATGTGAAACAGGGACAGTGTCGTCGTACAGATCCAAGAGGGCAATTCAACAATTACTATTGCTCTGCAACTGCAAGCGAGGCTTGCAGCCCGTACTTAAGAGTCTGCAATTTTAACCAGCTGAACCAGCCTAGGAGCACAAGGAAAGTCATATCGCAGTAAGTGCGCAAAGCAGGGCGGAAGGTACAGCACAGCGGAGATTTAACAATGATTATTGGTGGTCATCATTATTATACTCCCTAACGTTTTTCAATGAATTACGCTGCCATCGCCACAAGACTCTATTATACTTGCCTAACCACTTTACGAGATTACAAAACCGTTGTCCAACGTGTTTGAAGGGGTTTAAATGGCCGTTCAAACACTGGTGCAAGCACTGTAACGCACGTACGTTGATTAGGTATAGTCCTTTGCAGCCGTTCTCGCGCGAGTCATTACCGTTAACCCAATAAGTTAGTGACACACACGTCCAAAGAGTGCGATTGAGCTGATGCCTACAAAGGTGACCATGCCCACAAGGGCACAGGTATGATTGGGAGCGTAACATTTTTTTCCACTAATTGCGCCATAGCGTCTGATTGCAACTCACAGTTCACACTATTCCTTGCTATTCCGATGGCTGAAAGGCGTTGACCGACTGAGTCGCGCAATATACCTACCTTTAGAAAAGTCACCTTTTACAAATTTGCGAACTGCTTTGTAGGACCCTGCCTCGCGACCAGCTCGTTATCCGACCCATTTTGCTTTCTTAGCAAATTCTGACAAATAGCCCCTCGCCGCAGTCCGCCGCAGCCATGTTTACGAGTAAGCCGCCCAATCCGTCCACGCAAAACGCGACTGCCTGCCTGCCAGGTTATTCGGGCACGCAAGACGTTGCTCACGCCCCAAACGGCTCTTGTGGGTGCAGTGGTAGGCGGAGCCGTGATGGGTGGCGCCATCATGAGGTGAGAGACCTGGTAGGGGCCCCATCCGTCAAGGGAGCGGGAGGCGGCGGGTTCCTGTACTTCGTGGCTAAAGTCACCCTTATAAGTCATAGGCCACTGCCGGCCAAGTCCGCGAAATTCCCCGCGGAATTCCCCTGCGCAACCTTTTGAAACATCGAAGTTCTACCAAGCTTCGGCACGACTGTAAGGTCAACAAATAACAATGCGCAAGATGAGAAGAAATGATGTCGCGATGAGATGGTCACTCCAGTAATTTCTATCCAAGTTACAAGAAGTTAGATTTATAAGGTTGCCAGAGCTTCCAGCATGTGTGTTGCCCTGCGTTCCTAAGACATCCCTTGGTGGCAGCTGCGTTCAGCGTTTGAGGAAATAGCGCGCACGTCGAGGTACCTACAGGTGCCGCGCAGACACGAAGCCGCTGCAGCGGCACCTCTAGGCCTCAGAATACGTCGGGATGCACACCATTCCTGCGTGCAGTTGGGTCAGCTGGCCCGTATACTTAGCTGGGTGGAATCCCGCTGCCAATTTTCAGCGCGGATCACAAGGAATGTTGTGCCTTTGAATTATTTAGGATCGTCTAGGTTGTAAGAATCCCCACAACAAGTATATACACTGTAATTACCCGCGACCTGTAAAGAGCGGCTATTTATTACAGCCAGGTTTCCCTTACTGCGTATTATGGTTTAAGGGATCGATTATGGGAAGGAGCTCCAAGCCTCTCCAACACGACTGCTGCCTAACCAGACTGCACCGCACCGTGATTCTAAATGTGTGTGCGGGAGGCTTTAGATATAGGCCGCCGCTTGGCCATGGCGATTGCGGACCAAGTCCCTGCCGGTGATTGCCGGGCTATCGGATCCAAGAAGATTCCCATTCTTGAAACATTTGGATGGGCCGAACGGCGGTCGCATGTCGGACTAAACGGCTTAAACAGTGAAGAAGGAAAACATCGATCAAATCCCTTTTTTTTATGAAAAAGCATAATCGCGCAAATTTGTGGTTTTCCGCGGGGCGAGGAGCGGCGCACAGGGAGAGTCCATCCAGCACTTGATTAACGCATTCTGGCAGTCTGAACTAGTAATTATACTGTGATGGCGCAGCGAAAGCGTATGGCGTTTCAGCGCGATGCGATGGTGGCGTTTCGTTGGGCTTTTTTTTTGCTTGAATGCCCTTAAAAACCTCCCATCACTGAAGCCTAGAAATCCCCGCCTCTGGTCCCCTCCCCCCTCCCCCGCCTCATGACGCCGCGGATGCGCCAGTCTACCCTGGGAGGATGAGGTGGTGTACGGCATGGATCGAGATACGACACTTTTGGAGCATTTGCAACCCATTTCGAACGAAAAATATTTACGAAGCACCGTTTACTTCGACTCGCATGGTGTCCGGTACGGAGCGCTACTCGACACATGCAATTTTGACATCAGCAGCCACCGCATGAAAATTTAGTTCTCACTTTCCGTGCGCTACCACGGGGTGTCGGGGGGATGAGGGAGGATGGAAAAGCTCCTAGGGGCGCAGATTACAGCAATTTGGACCCATGCCACCCTCTGGTTGCTGAATGTATCGGCAAATACAGTGCTTCTGCTTCTGCTCTTCCTAGAATTCATGATCATGATACTGCTGCTGCTGCTGCTGCTGCTGCTGTCTTGCAATGCAATTGCGCTTGATGCTATTGGTGGTGCCCCGCATGTCATGCCCGTATAGTGCTGCGAATGCTGCTGCTACTGCTGCTAATCCTGTAGGTGTGAGGCATGGTTTTACGAGCCAAGCGCCCAAACGCGTCGCAACATGGACCTTGGAAGGTACGGCACTTGTACGAAAGGGTGGTTCATACACCTCAATGTATGCCGTACACCATATTGGTGCACGTGTTTTAGCGCCTGCCGCCCTTTCCCTCCACTCCTCTCACCTTCCCACCGACTCACCCATCCTTGCTCCGCAGTTTTTACTTGACGTTCGGCAGTTACACATCTCAAGTACCTAGGTACACTCTCTCGCATCCGCTACGTCACAAATCTCTCTCCCTCCTCACACCATTCCTTCTGCATTCCCGAGTGTTTGTCTTCTCCCACCCTCTTCCCCCACCCTTTCGCACCCTCTCTCCCACCCACTCCTACTCTCTCATAACACACCCCTCCCTCCCCTCCCTCTCACCCCAACCCTTCCCCCCCTCGGCCTTCCTGCGTTCAGCGCCCCCCCGGTAGTGGTCATGGCTCACGGCTTGGGGAGCCAGAAGGACATGGGACTGCACCCTTACGCGGAGCAGTTCGCCGCGTCAGGCCTGGCAGTGCTGGTGTTCGACTATCGCAGCTTTGGGGGAAGTGACGGCTGGCCCCGTCACGAGGTCAAGTGAGCGGGGGGGCGGGGGCGGGGGCGGGGGCGGCCGAGGAGGAAAGGGGGTTAGGGGGGGCGTGTGGCCGGGGGATGGGGGGGGGAAAGGGGGCGGCTGCATCCAAACCAGCAACCCAAATTGAGGTGCTGCTGCAACGTAATCGCCCCTTGGCTTGTGTTCCCCTAACGCCCTGATCGCACGTGTACGGCGAACTGTTTTGTCGTACAGTTGGCGGAAACACTTGGAGGATTGGGAGGCGGCTGTGGAGTGGGTTCGTGCGGGGGGCCTGGGCACGAACCGCGTAGATGCGTCGAGACTTGCGCTGTGGGGTGTGTCGTACAGCGGCGGGCACGTGTTATGTACGGCAGCGTCGCTGGGCCCGGATCGCGTCAAGGTGGTTGTGGCCAACGAACCATACCTGCAGGCCCAGCGAGCGGTGGCCAAGCTGGTACAGGTGAGTTCGTTAGCAGGTTCGTTAGTTGGTTCGTTAGCTAGTTAGTTGGTTAGGTTGCCTTCACAGGTGAAAGGGGGCATACAAAGGAGTGGACTTCAATGCGGTTAAGTTAGTTGACGTCGTCGTACTGGGTTATGTAGGGTTTTGTTAAAATGCTGCTAGTATAGTACGTGGGCTGCTGCTGTGAATGCGGTTGCTGACTGCTTTCGCGTCCTCCCCCTTTGCAACTGCCGCTACTGCTGTTCTGCTGCTGCTACTGTTGCTGCTCCTACCGCGGCTACAGGAACGTGGTGTGCTGCCGTTAGCTCGGGCGTTGGCGGCTGCCGTGAACGACAAGGTTGGTTAGTTGGTTGCCGTGAAGGAGGGTTTGAAGAAAGCGGGGATTAAAAAGGGGGTTGGTACTTCCGGAAGGGAAATCCGCGAGCTGGGGAGGGAGGGAGGTGGAAGAATAAAAGCTCCAATCCGTTATAATTCAAGTATCAATACATACTTACATACGCACGCACATCATTTCGTTGGGTTTTAGGAACGATACCAGCTGGGGAGGGGAGTAGGGGCCCCGTACTGGGGGGGGGGGAGCGGTGGTGATGCGAATATGTAATAGCAGCCCCCTCCGGGTGGCAGTGTCGGCAAACGGACTCCATATGGCCCTAATCGGACACTTATCCTACGCTGCCATGCTGCGTGTATTTTGTAAGCATGTATGTGTTTATGTAAGTACAAAACCCTCCTTCCATTCACCATGTCGTACATGTACGGCGCATGTACGGCCCATGTATGGCAAACTCAGAACTGATGTTGGTTGTCGTACATTTAGGTTCGTGGGTTACTGGGCCTGCCACCGGCTTATATCAAGCTGATCGGCGGGCAGGGGGAGTTGGCGTTACTGCAGTTGAGCGAAGAGGAGATGGCTCAGGTGCAACGGCCGGCTCCTGTACGGCAGGGCGGCTGGAGGAACCTGGCGACTGCGCGAATGGTGCGTGTGTATGTATGTTTGTATGTATTCATATATACGTGCGCTATATTTCTTCCGAGTGGAAAGAAAAATGCTCTCCTTCCCTCCCTCTCGACTCACGATTCAAAAATCGTCTCGAGTTTTGACTTCCCTTCTTCGTATCGCCTCCCCCTTCTTATGACCCGTTGGTGGTTGGTCGTAGTGGTGGTCGTGGGCATTGTCATGCGTCCGTACCCTCCAGACTTACTGTCGTACATACACGTGTATGGCAATTCATGCATGTAACATCTTTTATTCATGACAAAAGATTCTCAAAACGGACATTATATTTTTATTTTAGCGATGCTCCGAGCGTTATTGACCAAAGTTGGTCTGTACTTTGTTCTATTACCAGTATAGACGTGTTTTGCTATATAAGGGCCCCCTCTCCCCCCTCCTCCCCCGCTCCACTCTTCCCCCTACCCGTCGATCCCACCTCGGGCGCCGTTGTCCCTTGACACATCACCATGACATTCTGATATATGCACCGCTATATCGGTATGTCGCTCTGGCGTTGACGTGACCTGCCGTACATCTACCGTGTACTACCGTACCGGATGGCAGTTACTGGGCGCAGCTGCATACAGGTATGAGAGTTATGTTTGCTTGTTTGTGGGTGGGGAGGGGACGGATTGAGCGACCGCCGTCCTCTGCTGCAAGGGACGTGTGCAAAGACAGCCTCTCCTCCTCGGCCAAAGAGGGGTTGCGAGGGGTTGCGGGTTTTCCCCGACTCCCTGCTCCTCCTGCCGCCGCACCCCTTCCAGAAGCCGCCCATGGAGACCTTCCCTCCCTTCTCCCCCCCCCGCATTTTCCCCCCGATTTACCCCCAATATACTTGTCGTACAACCCAAACCCGCAGCCCCATAACGGTTGTGGATCAGATCTGTGTGCCTGTACTGGTGGTTGCTGGAACTAAGGACGACATTTGCCCCGTGAGCCTGGCGCGGGATGCAGTGACGAGGATAGGCCCGCAGGTACGTTCACGGCATGTACGGCAGCAGCAGGGAACTAGGAAAATGGGGCCGTACAATGGCACAGTACGTACGACAGTTACGGAATGTGTGGGGAGCTGTATTTGCGGCGTATGCGTTGTCAAATCGGAGCGGGAATGGGAAGCAGATGTGTTTTTTGGAAACACCATCCACACCTGTCCTCTCTGCAATACATGGTGTGGTTGATAGAGCTGCAGGTAGAAGTGACGTCATTGCAATCTTGCAGGGTACTTCCTAATTGCAAGCCGAGTTAATTTTATTACAGAATACTTTTGTAGTAGGAGATAAAAACACTGAAGAATGGGTTTCAAACAGCATATAGTTGTTAAGCTGCTATCTGGAGAATATGCATGTGGATGGGACTGCGGTGCAGAGGACGCAAGTGGATGTCTTGATGGTTTTCCAAGCATCACAGACAATACAATTATATTTACAGACACGCATCCCGGCTTAGGGTTTTTGGGTGCATTCTGACCTTCGGACCAACCTACGACTAAGTTGCGCCAGCAGCCTCGCCCCCATTTCCCGGCCAAGCTCCACATGGGGGAGGGAGATGGTAGCATTAGATAGCTAATAGCCATTTCATGACCACCCAGATAATTATATATGTACAGACATACAAGTCGCGGCACGCCAAACACAACGCACATAGATACATACATACATCCGTCCATCCATACACACGCAAACACAAACAAACTCACTCCCCCCCCCGACTCCTCAGGCTCGCCTCATTGAGCGGCCTCACGCGCACATCGAGCTGCACCGTCACGGGGCAGAACCCGAGTACATCAGGCCTGTGATCGAGTTTCTGCAGGTGTGTATGTATGTATGTATATGTATCTACGTGTGTACGTCGTGTGCAAAGGTGTGTGCGCCTCTGTGTGTGTATATGTGTGTGTAAGGTTACAAGTATCTCACCAGGCCTGACGACACTGGCCGCAGAGGGGCTGTTGTCCAGGCCCACCCGAAAGACCGCCTAAGCTCTCTCCCTAAGCGGACGGGGGCCTCTGTCTCCTCCCCCCCCCTTCCTAAGCAGCAGAGAGAGCCGCAGATCCGCCAGCTCCGCTCTCTTCCCCCCCGGGGACCCCAACCAGCTGCCTAACCCAGCAAAAGTCGAGCGCGCGCCTCTTAGGCAGCGGCAGGTAGAAGGTGATGATATAATAAGCACTGGCATGACCATGACAGCAGAGAAGAGAGAGAGAGCTTGTTATGAGTGCCTGGCCACTTCACATCCTAAGTATCACAGGAATTATGAAATGACAAATAATGCAGAACAAGGAAATTGGCTGCTGGGTTGCGTTTAGCTGCTGCTGCGGATAAGTAAAAAATCTCATCATATTAGGCAAGGTGTGCGGCGATGGCCGTTTGGAAATCCCAAACAAGCCTTGATCACAAACGAACCAGCTGGTCACTGGATTGGAGGATATTATATTGAGGAGGATCCCATGTGCATGGCAAAGAGGTGTGGGTGTATATGTAAATATGTATATATGTATGTTGAGGATGCAAAAAATTGAACACCTTCTGGAGCTGTTTAACAGGCCCATACGAGCCTTGCTTTGTGGGCCCATGCCGGTGGCTGTCTGAGGAAGGTATCATAAAAAACGCATAAGAAAGACTGTCGAATGAACTGAACCACACAGCCTGCTGGTATTCAATAGTCCAATCTTGCCCGTCCATCGGCACGACGCCTGTTGCTGGAGTTAAGCATGCATCCAGCAGGAATATATATCCTCAGGCTTTATTTGCATATTGTGCCAAGAAATGTGAAGGCTTATTTCCTGGATTAGATAATATGATGTAGATTTTCTCATAGATACGTTACACACGATGACGATTGTCTCCACAACTTTTTAATTCGTTCACAGGAGCATCTTGGCGGTGTCGTCGTGGATGCCGCTCCTGCCGGTCCGCTTGCGCGCATGACGTCCGAGAGCCAATTTGGGTAGAGGTCTTTCAGATGCTCAGTAGTAGCGTCTCGTACCACCTACGTATGATGAGCCTCGCATTTTGGCGGGATAGCACATCTTCGCTGTTGAGCGTCAGTCACGTTGGGGTTAATAGGTTGATATGAGGATCCACATTTTAACATTTTGTTTAATTTGAATGATGGTTTAAGGTTTAGGCGTGTTTTTTTCGTGCCGTCATCAAGAAACTTCCGAGTCGGAGGATGACTCAGACAGAGAAGGAAGTTCCCAGCTGAGCGAAAAGTCATGTGGGCATCAAGTTGCAGGGCTTGATTTATGAGATGATACGATACAGTCTGAATTTATATCAGGAACGGACGCTTGCAAGGGGAAGACTGTTTCCTTTAGTTTTGTGATCATTTAGTCAAAACGACGCTTCACAGCATATCTTCCGCCTCAAGCGCTTCATCGGTGACGAACACCCGAATACAGCGCACGTAATACTTTGGTTTACGTAGTTGCCCTAGATGATCATTTAAGATCAGGGGTACTTGGGGAACTTTTCCTGTTGCGAGACTGTTGTCTGTTGCGGCGTAACTGTCGAGTGTGAGCTTCCTTGTGCCGCCGGCTAGCGCAAAGGAGGCAACTAAATTGCGATTTCGTATGAACCCATAGTTGAACAGGATTTTGATATACAGAAACATCGCTCGGGGTAGCAAGTAACGACGGCAGCTCGTACTCGCGTCACAACTCTGGGAGGGCCGTCCTTTTGCCATCGCAGCCTCTGCATAAAAGGGCTTAATATGGACATTTCGCAGTAATGTAAAGCGTCCGCTGTACAGGTTTTGAGAGCGTTCTTCTTTGTGCGAAGAGACGTCTTAAGAGCTTCTGAGGACACTGGGGAGGAATGCCGCTAAGGACATGGTGCAGTTGCTTTTCTTTTGTCATCAATGGAAAGAGTGTGGAGTCGGCACACCGCGCTGAGGAGACGGCTTCACAGCTCGATGACGTTTATCCCATTCAGCAGACTGGTCCTTTAATCAGACAATGCAACGGAGCTCTTGCACCAGGCTTTATAAATGCATCGCCTGTGATGTTGGCTGAGGTTGGCTCCCGCGATCCTCGCGGTTCGTCATCATTTTCGGAAGTCAACCAATTAATTGCAGAATCTTCCCCACAGCCCCCAACTTTCTGTAATAGCGAAAGCACAGCGGTTTGTTCAACTCCGCAGCCCCTTGTATCTTCAGGGTTGGCAAGTGTTGCAGTCTCACGCAGCACTGTACCGGGATTCACATTACCAGCCTCGGCAAGCGGCCCTGCTTCGTTGAAGGAGCATAAACCAGCAACGCGCCGGTTAAAGGACAACTGCTGTAACATCGGTCTCAGGGAAACAGGCGTTGATGTCCGCGCCCTGTCGCACTGTACCGGTACCGATGCGGAGCCATGGTACGTAGTTATTCCCGCACATCCTGTATAGGCCTCGACAGTTGAAACTCTTGTCTAGGTAATTGGATTATCATTAAATTGCTTACTGTTAGAAAACAATTTTGATTCAAGAGTTGCCTTCGGAGCGAATTCTCATATGCTCGGCAGTGTCCGCCTCCTTTTCCTAAAATGGAAATGAACAAACTGCCTGCTTACTCCCTTTCCCTCCATATCCCCTTCCGTCCTCAATCACTGTCTTCATCCTAAACAGCCGACACTTTCTCTCCGCCTCCGTCACCGCCTCCGGCTCCGCTTCCCACGCCTCCACGGCACCACCAGAAATCAACACCGATGCAGCCGTTGAATGTTCTCAGTCTCGTACTTCCAGGCGCCTGCTGCGGCCCCCGCCGCTATTGTCGCTGCAGCTGCCGCCTCCGCAGCCCCAGCCGGTCCAACGCCCCGTAGCGGCGCTGGCAATGCTGGCAGCCCACAACCGCGACGACCATGTAATCACTGGAAGCGGCAACGGCCGCAACGGCGGCGCTACCGTTGTCGGCAATTTTACGCGAGTTATGGAACTTACACGCAGTTTGTCTCGCAGAGGCCCGCTGCTGGTCCGCAAGGTCATGCGCGGCAATGGCGGCGGCAGCGGTGACGGCGGTGGCGGCGTCAGGGAGCAGCGCGTAGAGGAGGCGGTGGTGGCGCCGCCGCCGCCGCCAGCACCGCCCACGACTTCCATCTTCACAACAAATGCTGCGCTCGCAGGCGGCGGCTGTGGCGGTGACGGCGGCGCGCGTAGCGTCGCCGTATCACCGGCGGATGCCGTGACGGAGGCGGGATGTGGAGGCGCGGAGGCCGACGCTTTTCCGCCGCAACAAGATGGAGTCCGCGGCGAGGCGGCGGCGGCAGCGGCGGCGGCGGCGGCGGTGAATGGCGCTGCCGCCGCCGACCTGGTCCTTGCTGCCGGTGCCGCCGGTGCCGCCGGTGCGGGCGGGTGTCGGGATGGTGCGGCCCCGCTGATTCCTGCGTACCGCAGCGCACCCATCGCCTCTATGTACAACAATCGTTCAAAACTGCCGTACATGGCGTCGCGCCACATGTCCCAGGTGCGCTATCACGTGGATGGATTGCTGCAGAGCTTCAGGAGCTTGTTCTGAATCCAAACGAGAATCCTCAAATCGCTTCACCATGCCGCCTAAAGGAAATGAAGAAAGCAAAACAAGAAAGAAAACTGCCAAACTTGGGTGAGAAAGAAAGCTCTTCACCGAAAGTGTGATTTTTGTCACGTTGAGCCCTTGTTGCATCGTTGTACCATCATAGTGGATAATTATTACGATATCTATTTATTTATAAATACCTAACATCATCCACAATTTCCAATTGTTCATGAACTGTATAAAACTTCTAAACCGGACACATGCTCTTATGAACAAATCTTAGCTGAATCACGCACAGGTCATAACGACCAGGGGTCACCTCGGGTTGTATGGCCTCGCACAAATTATTCCCACTCCCTTGGGGTTTCCAAAACGTCGTAATAACCGTGCATGCCGTACAGCAGCCGGATATACCAAAATTATCTGTGCTTATTGCCTTCTACGGACGAAGCCAACTCAACGAAATATTGCGAAACAAATATGGTACGTCATAATGTAGGCGCATGTCATACGGCACTGTACCGTGCCGTACACGATGTACTGCCTTCTCTTGCTACCCTGCAACTGATTGGTCGTTTCTGCAACCGCTCGCTCGTTTCTGCTCCCGTACCCAGTAACCCCAATAGCCCCGAAACCACATCGCTCCCTTTCATTTACATCGCGCCTAGGTGGCCTTTCTGCACATGCTGAACATTGATGATGGCGACGGCGGCGGCGGCACCGGCGGCGTGTGCGACGAGCGCGACAGCAGCAGTCCCGGTGGCGGCAGCGGTGGCGGCGGCGGCGGCAGCGACAGCACGCCGCCGCTAGTGCCCATGCCCATGCAACCACATCCTCATCGTTATGAACCCGAGCACCAGCCCTTACCGCACGCGCACCCGCACTTGTGGACGCAACTAGATCTCGCCGCGCTTTCCCGGGAGATCACCGGGCTGCGGTGGATCGGTCAAGGGGGGGGAGGGGCGGTGTTTCAGGTGGGTGATGGGTGGGTGGGTGGGTGGGGTTGGGGCCGTGCGTCTGCGTGTCTGTGTATGATATAGCGGGAATGGGTGTGGGTATGTGGATGTGTGTGAGCGTGTGGTTGGTCAGAGGCACACCCCCAGCTCCCAATCCAACCCACTGGCCGCAACCCCGGCACACCTCATTCAAGTTTTATTCCTTTTTTACTCGAACCGACCCTGTACGGAGGGGTACGACGTCCTTTCCGTACCTTTCTCCGTATCGCCTCTGCTTGCTTATCGTTCGCACTCGGCTTCCCCGCCCCCCCTCCGCACCTTTCTCACCCCTCCCAGGCCGTGTGGCAGGGGGCGCAAGTGGCGGTGAAGTTCCTCTTAAAGGACTCAGAGAAATCGGAGGAGCGGGATGCGGTCAACGCAATCCTGCCGGGGGCAGGCGGAGGAGGAGTTGGAGTTGGCGGCGGCGGCGGCGGCATTGACGGCATTGACGGCATTGACTTTTTAGAGTTGGAGGGAGTCGTGAGCAGTGTGGTGAGTGTCGGTTTGGGTTTTAGGGTTTTAGGATTCGCGTACGTTAGTATGTTTGTATGTTGTTACAGGGTGGTTAGTGTTTGGGGGTTTTGGTCGATGGGGGGCTTCGGTCGATGATGAAAAGATGAACACAACAATCAGCTGACGGAAAGGAGCTGAATGGGAATGTACTTTGTACAAAGTAGAGGAGGAGAAAGGGCGGTCTGCAAAGATGGACGCCAGGAGAAACCTTAACGTAGCTGCATGTGTACGACAGGTTCGGTAAAAGCGTCAATCTGTACGACAAGGTCGGCACGAGCATTATGTGTACGAGAAGGTTGTTAGAGATAGAGCATAATGTGTACGATAGGCCGTTGTGCATGGTTTCTTTCCTTTTCTCGCCTGGCGGATGCCATATCCGTTGTGTTAAATAAGCAGCTATGCCCCTCCCGACCAATCCTTTGGCGATCCAGAATTGCCCACCACCGCGCCCGCCTTCTTCCGGCAGGTGAATCACCCCAATGTCGTACACACCTTTGCGTTTCATTTCGCTCGCCTCACTGAGGCGGTCTTTGCGGCGGATCCCGACAACGACGTCGACAGGCTCGACAGCATGATGGATGAGCAGGGAAATCGGGTACGGCAAGGTCTGCCGATGTACGGCTCTGTACCTCGTACCGTCGTTCCTTAGGGAGCGGCTATTCGGGGGGGGGGTCATTCGGGATGCGACTTCGTGGGTTGTACTCGGGGGTTTGGGGTGTGATCCTGTTAAACGTTTTGGACGGGTTTAGGGTTTTAAAGGGTTTTAGGGTTTTTAAAAGTGCTTTCTAAAAACATCGTCTCAGGATATTATTGGGCGGTTTTCATGGCTCGGCGTCCCTCTTCCCTCTTAACGCGTAGGACTTGTTCGAGTCCTTGCTCGACACTGCCAATCTGTACGGCGATGGCGGCGGCAACATCAATGCAGCGTACGGCAACTTGTCTGGCAGCGGCGGCGGCAGGCGCCGCGCCAACCCAGGCGCCGCCGGCAACCCTGCCATTGCTGCCCCCTCCACACACGGCACTGCGGACGGGGTTACTCCGGGACCTGGTGCCCGTGGGCTCTCGCGCTTCAGTAGCACAGTGCAGGACGCGGGCGCCGCCGCCGCCGCCGCCGCCACCAGGTCTACTGCTACGGTAGCTACAACCCGCTGCGGCGCCAATGACGACAGCGGTGGTGCTGGCAGCGATAAGAAGGCCGGGGACGCCGGGTTGGCGGCGCCGCTAGCTGCTCAGGGGATGGCTGTACGGCAGGGCGGCGGCTGGGATGGCTCCGCCGCCGCCGCCGCCGCTGGAACCGCTGCTGGTGGGGGGGATGCCGCTAAGGATGAATGTAGCAGCGGCGGTGGCAGAGGTGGCGGAGGCGGCGGCGGGTACGGCAGCGGTGACGGCAGCCCTGCCGGTGGTGAGGGGCGCCGCCAGGCCACATCGGACGCGGCACGGCTCCGTACGCAGGCTACCGTACGGAATGCTGTACATGCGCAGATTCTGCAACAGCAGCAACAGCGGCAGATGGTGGTTCTGGAGTCCACGTTCCATTCTGACGAGGTACGGGATTAGGCATGTACGGCGGGCATGTACGGCATTGCATGGTGAAACGAAAACCGGACCATATCGGCATTGGAGAAAAAAGACGGGTAGCGGAACGAAAGCAAAACAGGAAGGGAAGGGAAGGGAAGGTGTTGCCGCGGCGGTGTCATCGAACTCCCCGCAACCCGTTTAGTTAGTTTTGCACATCGAGAAAGTTCTCTTCCCCGGAAGGATCGCTTTCCGGCCCGGAGGTCTCTTAAGTTCAAAAGGTATGCCGTACTCGCCGTACAAACAGGGTTTTGGCGACCCGGAGCTGGGCAGCAACCGAGGCTGGACTGTACGGCAGGCGCTACAACACCTGAAGGCCCGGCCGGGCATGCATATGACGTACATCATCATGGTTGGTCTAGGGGGGGGTTGGGGGGGTTGGGGGGGGGGGTAAGAAGGGAAGAATGGAGCTGGCCAGCTCACCACTTGTGCAACCCGCACCCAGCAGTACGGCAGGTGGCTAACCCCCCCCCAAGGGAGGCACCACCACATTCGGAACTAAAAATGGAAGGGGGGGTTGGGCGCAGCTGCTCCGGATTGCCATCATCACCACCACCATCATCACCACTATCACCGTCAGCACCAGCACCAGCACCAGCACCACCAGCAGAAGGTGGACGAGGTGCAGGAGCAGGAGGAGGATCAGGCAGGACTGTAGGACAGAGAGAGAGAGAGAACAGATGTGACAGATGGTCTGAGGACGATAAAGAGCACGGAAGGCGGGTGGTGGTGGTGGTGGTCGGGGAGACTATGTGAGACCGAGGTGATCATCGAGGTCACAACGAAGATAGGGAATGTACGGCGCTCCCGGATGGCGGGAGGGGCAACAGGCACCAATGAAATAAATCTCAGCACATTTGTTTCGCTGTACTGGTAAGTAATGGCCCACCTGTACGACATGTGCCATGTTGTCGTATATACTGTCTGCCGTACAGGAGTACTGTGATCGTGGGTCTCTGCTTTCGGCCATCCGCCGCGGCATCTTTCGGATGGAAGATCAGTACGGCAGTCACCATGCCGGTCATGCGGCGGATGGCGGTGCCGTACAAGCACCCGCGTCATCGTCAGCCGGGTCGTACTTCAATGCGGCGCCATCGCAAGGGGGAGCAGCGGCCGGGAGGTTTTCACGCCGTATCGTTCTGCGAGCCATACTTCGTACGGCACGCGACATCGCGCAGGTGGGCTCGACGAGAGGGGCACCCCTGCTGGGTGCTGGGTGCGGAGTGTCGTTACGTGTATGTATGTAAGTACGTATGTACGTGTGTATGCACCGGAACATGGTCGTACATTTACCCAATTTTCCGCCGAATAATCTTCCTCTTCCTTCCCCCCTTCCCCCCTTCCCCCCTTCCCCCCTTCCCCCGCCCCCCCACCCCACCCCCCTTCCGCCTCAGGGCATGTGCCACCTGCACTCCAACGGCATCATTCACGGAGATCTCAAACCGGGAAATGTGCTGCTCAGGGGATGCAGGTCCGACAGGAGGGGTTTTGTGGCCATGGTGGCGGATTTCGGACTGAGCAAGGTACGGCAGGGTACGACATTGCCTTACGTGCCGTACAATAACATCCAGCCCTTGCCTAGGAGCATTTACTTGTTTGTATTATTGATGTCCATGTATATATTAAATTGGGAGGTGTGTCTATGTCACAGTCCCGAATCCCGAAAAATCCCTTCTACATGTACGGCAACAGGTAACACGCGGCGACAAACCGTTGGAGCTTAACCACTGGTCAACGGTGACGGTTATGGCGCCGGAAGCTATCATGGGCCGCTGGCTCAAAGCCTCAGGTACGAGCGTGTACGATAAGGAGCAACGGAAGGAGAGCCGAGTGGGCGCAAGGCCAAGGGGAGAGAGGGCGGGTTCGGGATTGGAGCCAAAGCCTTCCCGAACACGATATTGACACATTTATTGTAAATCTCCATTTGTGACATTATCTTGTTGGTAAGTACGACTGTGTTGTCTTGACATGTCTACTGTCGTCCTTTCACGCCGCCGTACAAACCCCCTTCCAATCCCCTTGGCCCCCCCTCCCTGTCTTGCTGTCGCCGCCAGACGTCTTCTCGTTCGGTGTACTGCTCTGGCAGCTCGTCACCAGCGAACCCCTGCCGTACGGCAAGCTGACCGTACCGCAGATCCTAATGGGCGTTCTGCAGGGAACGGTACGTGTTATGGGTGGTGCGTTTTGAAATCGTACACCAAACGCTCTTCCCCTTCCCCGTCCCCTTTATAAGAAACCCCAAACCCTCAAAAACCCCACATCAACCCCAAAATCCTAATCCGTACACTCCTTGCAAAACCCCCCTAGCCCCCACGCCCTCCCAGTGCCGGTACCACCGGTCTGGGGGGGGGATGTTACGGCCTTTTTTGAATTCCCAAACTAAAACCTGCCTTATCTTCCCCCATACATACATACATCCCCTTCCCCTCCTATTTTCCCTCCCCAGCTGAAACCCGAGTGGCCCTCCTCCGCCCACCCCGCCCTTGTACGACTTGGGCGGGCATGTCTGGCCACGAGCCCGGAGAAGAGACCCAGCTTTGAGGCGATTGTCAAGGTACGCCAGGGCATACAGTCGTACAACCGTATGATATCGTACACATCGCCACTTCCGTGCGGTGAAATGAGGACATTCATTTCAGGAATCTGGGATCTGGAATCTGGAATCTGCCTGGATGACTGAGATCCAGGATCCAATATTCCATTTCCTGGAGATCTTGTGATGCGCATAAATGGGCACGCGTGGCAGACGGGAAGTCCACACAACGGCTTTTTTGAAACTGTACGACATCATCAAGTTTGACTGACAGTTGTTTTGTCGTGGTTGGTTCGGTACACCCAACTGATTCGACGCACAGCATTTTTAGCTTCTCGTCAATTTGGCTCCGCCGTCCGCCGTACTACTGCGGCAGTAGGTACTTCCAATGGTAAACACATGAAGCTCCACTGCCATACTCCGGACTGTGTCGTACAGGTCCTAACCAAGATTGAGAAGCACATGCGGAACGAGCTACGGGTGCAGCGAGCAGCAGCTGTACGGCAGAATGGTGCAGTCCCGGCCGCCGCCGCTGTTGCCGCTGGCTTCATTGGCGGCTCCCTTGCCGCCGCCCCCGCCGCCGCAACAACTTCAGCCGCGGTGCCCAAGCAAGGTGGTGCCTTCGCCGCAACCATCGTTGCGCCGCCGCTGCCGCCGCTGCCGCCCTTGCCGCCGCTGCCGCCATTGTCGCCGCAGCCGTTGCCGCCGTCACCCTCACACTTGGCCGCCGCCCCCGCCGCCGCCGCTATTTCTGTTCCCGGACCCCATCTGTGAATGATCCTCCTCCCCCCCGCACCCGCATTGTGAGGTAAGATATAACCTCGTGGGGTTACAGGCCATGGGTTTTACCGAGTTTTGCATCGGTTTTGGCTGAGGGTTTTAAGGTGTTAGGGTTTTAAATGGGTTTCGCAGGCCCCAGCTTTGAGGCACTTCGTTTGGGCTACACTGCCTTCGGCTCTCGGGGTCCTTTCGCCCGGGGCCGTTAGTTCAGTTGCCTTTTACGGCCGTTGTGGTTCTTTCCTGACGGTTGACAGTTATTTAGTTGCCTCGAGAGAGTGGTCCTCGTGCAGGTCTGTTGCTCTCCTGGCTGGCTGAGGTAGTGGTGGAGGTAGTGGTGGAGGTAGTGGCGAGGGGGGATTGAGAAAACAAACGGTATACTTCCCCGTGGACTTCTTTTTGCTTCTTTCCGAAGTATGATAGCATCATTGCGGTTGAAGTTCGTTTTGGAAAACCATTCCGGACCGACCCGAGTGATGGACTTTGGCTTTGGCGGCTTGTCTGTCTGTCCGTCTGTCTGTCCGTCCATATTTGCATGCTGTACGGCATCACTGTGTGTCCAGGATGCCAAGATAAGGGGAGGGGCGGTCACACCAGGCGATCCGCGTACGCGTGTGTGTGTTTGCAAGTGTATCACGTGCGCGCGTGCGTGTATGTGTGTGTGTGTGTGTGTTGTTTCGTTGGTGTTGTGTGTGCTGTTAGCTTATATATATTTACTGATGCGCCTTCTCTGCTCGATCGGGATTGGCTGTGCATGCGCGCACATGTATGTATGCATGTATATATGTATGTACAGGTGCGCACCACGTGCACATGTGCGTATGTGCGGTTTGCCTGATGCGTGTGTGTGTGTGTGTTGCCGTACAACGTGCCGGACGGAGGCTTACCGGGCACATGTCAGCGGAGAAGGCAAATCCCCTCCCGCACTCCTCCCATTTGTCCCTGGCTGATCAAAAGGAGATGGTGTCGTACATTTGTACAGTCCATGCTTACATGGAAATGCAATTAGTGTAGGTGCACGCGGGTGTGTGTGATCTTTCCGTGCATTCGCAACAGTGACATTTAATATATTATAAATCAACAGATGATTAGATAAACGTAAGTCATTATGTCGAGTCCCAGGATCGATCCCGGTATGCAAGGGGTAATAAAATTTGATCGTTGGATGGCGGAGGTGTGTACTTCCATGCCGATGAATGGTGATGGATGCGCTTTTTGAGACAAATTAGATTTGGATAAATTTAACGCCACCATTGATCCGGCAGACTCCTATTGATGCTGGCGTTGGGTATTGAACTGGGGTTCAACATTGATTTTGCAGAAGTCGCGGGATACCTCGAGTGATGGGAAGGGTGAGGGTGCCTCGAAACGCAACTAGAGCAGTCTGGGCCCGTGGGTGAAAAGCTATACCCCGCCACTTCGCACATCACACACTGTTCTGAGGTAGATTTCATACGTGACTCTGCAACGCTTGTCCTTTTCTTCACACATAAACTCAATACTTTTGCGTTTTGATGTGAGCGATGTTTCCTTCTTAACGAAATACTTATGCGAACACATATGCTCTTTTGCATTAAAGGAGGTAATTGAGCGACGTGTGCGTGTCACATGTACGACACATCAGTGCCGTATTGCCGTACAATTTTAGTATGTTGCATTAACGGTTATTTGTACTTTTTTTTCGAGCATGCCATCTCCTCAAGGCTTCAGGACTTCATCCTGGTAGAAAAGCATAATGGCAAAGCTCTCTTGACAATTTTGTGTTTGTGTTGGGAGGTGGTAGGTAGGCCATCAGGTGCTATGTGTGTCTGTATGTATGTGCGGTGCATGCATGTCTTGCGTAATTCTCTATCCGTTTGCAATCCTCTGTACTGCTTTCGTACGGCACGGTACGAGCGGGAACGCCGAACCATGCGTGATGGAATGTGATATGCACCCTTTGTTCTCAGAAGTATTAAAGGTGGGGCAGCACGAGCCTCCCTTTGCAGGGTGCGGACGTCGTGATGGCGGTGGAGAAGAGGTGGAAAGGAAGGTGGCGAGGGAGAGAGGTGGGAAAACTGCCATCCGCTGTTTTCCCCTTTGTTGCACATTTGCCTTTCCGTGGACTCTTGACGGTGTCGTGGAGGCCGTGAAGGATGGGTTTTTTCTATGGTGTCTGGAATTTGTTGGCACGACGAGAGATGCTCGTCCAGTACGTTTAGACGCTCGTTCCCTACGGCGTGTTGTATGTGTGTATGTGTGTGTATGCGTGTGTGTGTATGTGTATTATCTTCCTGCAGGTCCGTTCCCCAGCCCCCAACCCCCGCCCACCTCCCCTTTTGGGTTGGATGCGATGGCCGTGATTGCCGTGTGCTCAACGCCCCATTCGCCCCGCTTCGGCCTGTTAGCTCCACATCCGGGAAAACGCCCTCTGCCTCCGCGGGACGGAAAGGAAACAGCTGCGGCTTGGATACGAATTTAAACCACCTTAAACTCTTATATGGCGAGTTTAATGAAAGTTTCTTTTATACTATATTATTTATTGTACTGTACGAAAAACGCTTGCCATTTAGTAGGTGATATTAGAGGAACTTAGGAGATCCCTTCATGTCGTACTAATTGAGATTAGGCAACCTGTTTTAGCTGGTGATGAGGACGCACGAGGTGGGTGCTGCTATCTGGTTCCTGGAGGAAGGCCAACAGCTCATACCAAGGACGGGCAAAGTGTGCTGATAGTGGTCTGTTTGGTGATCGCACTATTGTTCGGTGGCTCTTAAGATGGCTGGGGTTGGCTGATGTCTGTGTAGTGTGTGAGTTGTGAGTCACTTGTCTGTGCTGGCTCTTGGAAGTTCCTTGAAAAAGGATGTTATGTCGTACTTGTCGTATGTACGAATATGTATGTACCGTATTTGCACGTGTATGTATGCCATGGCTTGGAGGAGTCTTAGCATGCACATATAGCAAAAATAACCTAAGGCGGTGTCGTACGGTGGTACGAGAGGTATTCCTGGCCCGGAAAATTCCGATCCGTTGCTTTCTTACTCTTTACTTTACTACTTCAGTTGCGCTCCGAATGCTCAAATGGCTCATTTGAGATAAAAACATTTGCTCTTTAGGCAAATTGTTAATGGCAGGATAGGTGGCATAATTATTGTTCCTGTTCTTGTCTACTTCTTGGTTTGTATGTCGTACAATTGTCGTAGGAACAAATGTGTGCCACTGCTAGGAAAATGCGCCTGAAGCTTCCCCGAACATGATTCACATTTGTACGGCAACGGTTCGAGAGGTGTACGACAATGATGCCAGGGATCATCGTACAACAGTACGGGAGTTGCATGGTCTCGCTAAAACTGTGGTCCTTGCTTTATGGCTTTTCTTTTCTTTAGTGCTGTAGCAATAAATGTACGAATCCGAGCAACGTGTTTTGAAATTTATGCTGTTTTAGTTTTCTTCCAAAGTTCTTCTCTGGGGGTGATTTGTAGAGTGTCGGGCACCTGAGCGTCCAGGTGATATGCGGGTCCTGATTAGGATTCTGTACGGTAGATTTTAGACTGTCGTATATGAGAAATGGACGAGCGGGAATGCCGTGATGGTTCCCCAAGATATGTATTCAGTATGTCCCTTAGCGATTTGCGCTTTAGCGAGTTCTTCCCATTGGTGGTTGGTTCCGGAGCAGTTCGGCGTGGTGATGGTGTGTGTGTGTGTTGGTTGGTTGGTTGGTTTCGGAGCGGTCTGGCTGCTACTGCGGGCTAGTGTGGAGGCCTAAACGTAGCATCAGTAGGACCTGAGGAAAACACACACAGACATACACAGGCAGGCGGCTGGCAGAGGTTAAGGCCTGACTTCTGCTCCCAGTCGACCCAGTCGACCCGGGTTCAAATCCGCCTGCCGGCTCCTCGGGTGTTTGAGGAGTGATGAAATGGGAGGTGGCCCCCCATCTTATGGACGGTGTAGGACGTGATAATATCAACTTGCGAGCTGACCAGGAACTAAGTTGATGCGCCGTTGATCCGCTAGATTTGGTTGGATGCTGGTGGTGAGTTGCCGAACCCAACGAATACATTCTGAAGTCGGATGGGGTGACGGATTAGGGTGCCCCTCTAGCAGGGGAGAGCAGGGACTGCCCCGGGAAAGGGGGCCGCTGGCGAAGTTAACCACCCTGTAACAACATACATACACATCACATCACCCCGAAATTGTTATACGTGTTAATCCCCCGTGTATTATTCACTCGGCGTTTGCCTTGCTTCAGGTTAGGTGATCTCACAAGGGGTGTGTGCGTCACTTGGAAAGATGGTCTGAGTGTGGGTGCGGCGCGGCGACGAGTTTCGGGGTTACGTTTCCATCTCCACTATCACTTCGTTCAGGACGTAAAACAAAATGTCGAGATTCGATCTCCCCTCTCCCCCGGTGATATCTCCTCCAGGCGACCCAAAACCGCAAAATGCGCAGTCGCGAGTTGGCGGTGTTGGCCACCTGTGTGTGCTTTGACGTACGTGTTGTACGGCAAAGATGGCAATTCACAGATGCATACGGGAGGTTTCCACCCTTCCCAACTCACTCGCTATGCGAAAGAAAGCAGCTCCAAGACCTCTTCCCCAAGACAACGATACGAGCTTTTGTGTTCTGGCCCCGCCCAAAAAGGGGTTTTGAAGAGACGCATAGAAACTGCACGGTAATTCACCACACGTTGTACATTGGGGGGTGAAAGAAGGGCTGATTTTTTGCCCCTTTAATGACATCGTTGCGGGCCATGAATCTGTTTTCTGTACCTGGGAAGTACCCACCAGCGTACAGGACTTTCTTGCAAAGCGGCTAGGCTATAGGGCAGCCGTCTTGGGATGTAGGCAGCGCTGCTTTCCATGGTGCTAAACCTGGAATACGTCCAAGATATCACTAAGCCAGGTGAATGAAAGGCGTGTGGTTTGCTTTCAGTCAGTTGACGCGCACAAATCTCGCCATGAGAAAGAAAGTAGCAGCACAAGATGAACATCTGTTTGGTGTTTCCAAGGTCTAAAAGGGCATGGACAGGACAATGTGTGGTTTCGGATCAGTGGTCGATCTCTTAAGCTTAACAGACGCAATATGTTTACAGATGCCTGCTACACCGCACCAGCAAGCCCACAGCTCTACCGACCCCCGGGACGCTGTTGTGTTCTGGGCATTTCACGATATCTGCATTCGCATATCGGTACTTAGGGTTTCTAAACTCGTGGTCTAACAGACGCGCCGCGGGGGAACTGACCCGGAAAAAGGTAATTGGGCGCCTGAAGTCGGTCGTCCAAACGTTACCGATTGCCTAAAGAGGAGGAGCCTCTCGTTTTGGATGAGGACCTTAACGCTAGAGTTGCCGGGCCATGTGAAGTGCTGGACCAGGATGCTGACGCCAAACTTGTCCAAGATTTGCCCAAGTGCATGTGGGTAGTTCAGATTTGATCCGCAACATTCCAGACAGACATAGCAAAGACGCTGCGAGCAATGGGCCTGGGGAGGGAGAAGGGCATGGCAATAGGCAGCTGGGTGCTTGAGAGCGGTAACGGAAGGTGGGTGCAGAGGGGAAGGAAGGTACGTAAGAGGTGGGAGGGCCGGCGATGAATCCCGGGGGGTGCAGTAGCTGTCCCTGAAGCGCGGAGGGTCGTCCTGAGCTTCCCGGGCCCTTTGGGTGCGCCGAAGGAAAGGCGGGGGAGAGTGCGAAGGACTTTGCTCCTAGAGACCAGAAGGGATTTCGCGAAAGGAATATTCTCGAATTTGGCACTTTGCGGGAAAACGGTTTGCCTCTTATGCAGAGCGCAGTTCCTGACGTGGACACCTTTCTAAAGGCAGCCAATAGCATGCGACAGACGTGGTTGCAAATGTACGGCCAGAGTATGTGCCTAAAATAATATAGCCGTTTTATCCGTGCTATCAGACGTACGGCACAAACAGCCTGTAGTAGTACAGATCTGAGGACTACGTAAAGGGCGCTGTTAGTGCGCACCATGCACCCCAGGCTTACCATTCACAGTCGCAATCCAACCCAACATATAACTGGTGGTTATCCATTCGGTCGCAGTGGACTTGGTGGTAAGCACGCGTAAGCATGCATGGTGCAGAAGTGAACCGATGGTATGATGAATGCTTCTTACAGGGGAAACTGTCGTTTTAGCTTAGGTGCAGCCCAACCAATGGACACCAGACCGTGGCCACTGACACCCGACATTCTTGGCTCCCGTGGGATACGCGCAGTCTCGTCATTCCCCTCGGCTTGTGTTCAGTGGCATGCACATGTGTGTGTGTGTGTTACATGGTTGGGGGTGCGTGACCCCATACCTGTAAGACTACCCATACGAGCCGAGGGCCCAAGGGCAATACTACAACGTGGCTAAAAGCCACGGAGAAAAGGAAAAAAAACCGCACATCAGCCCAGACTAACGTCCAAAGGGGGTAATTGAGTTTCGGTGAGCCCACATACGTTCCAACATCCTCGCCAGACGTGCGGGTTCCCATTGCATGGCCTCCAACATACTCTGTTGATGATCGAATCCCTCTTCAGCACGAATATCATTATAGGCTGGGCATTCCAATAACACGTGTTTTTCATCCTCAATTCGGCTATTAGGACCACAACAGTGGCAAAACCGCTGCCCCCTGGGGACATGGTACTTGCCCCTTCGTGCTCTGTTCGCCTCCAAAGCCCAGCAACATAAACGAAACTGCATTAGCTTACGATGTGCTAAACGAGGAATGAAAACCTTAGCATGTGTTGGCCACATGACGGCTGCGGCTCCCGAAAAGGGCAGCCCCATCCAGTGCTTATACTTCGCCGCATGCATGAGCACAACAGACGCGGTGTACACACACAGCACACCCGCCTGCTGTCTAGCATTTACAATTGAATGAGTTTGGCTGCATACCCTTGTGCAGTGATTTGGGGTTCTTGTGGTCCGAGCTGACGTCCCGGCTTTGCCGTGCGATCTGAGGTCCCGATGCCCTAACTAAGGGGAAAGCATACTTCACCTCATCTATTGAAATCGTGATCAACGTTGAAAAGGCTGCGCTCATCGATGTACCCATATTGGGCAGTTTTCGCTGTCTCACTGTTTTCACTCTTATTAGCCCAGATTAGGATGAGAGTTAATCTGTTCACTTGAAGATCTTTTGACTTCATCAGAGCTTTCTCACTCCTAAGGTGTCTGTTCTTTCCGGCGGTTGGCGTGCCCGACACCGGGCACCCTTAGAAATCACTCTTAGGGCACTATCGCCGTTAGTCCATGAAGCGGACACGCCGCAAGGTTAGGACACGATATGAAGTGAGCTATAAAAACATTTCTCTATCAAAGCAAGAGAGCATGCAGAAGTCACAGGTCACAGGTCTCGCTCAAAGGGCACTTTCGCCGTCAGGCATAGGAATACACACGCCACAAGGGCATGAGATTGTGTTGACTGTATTGTAAATGAAGTTCCTGGATTGACCAAGATGGAAAGCTGGAGACGAAATGGACGCGCACATGCCGCATTTGTCTGACATGTAAGTGCCATATGATGTGTGAAACAGGGGGGTATATCTTCGCCCGTGGCAGCTACCCTGCGAAACCCTGCCTTCCCCGGTATTTCGGAGCACCCTCATCCAATCACCCTAGTCATCTTCTCAGTGGATCGCTCAGGTTCCCCACCCACCACCAGCATCCAACGGAATCTGCCGGGTCGACAGCGGCCCAACTCCATTCCTGGTCGGCTCGCAGATTAACTTTATCCCAGGTCACCACCGTCCGACTTTCGACCTTAACGGGTATTGATCCCGGGAATCTCCCGGGGGCAATGGTTGCGCGTTACCAGTAGTGCCAAACCCTAGCATTCAATTTTTATGTCTGACATATGCGTTACATCTCACTCTTTCAGGAAATAGACATTGCCAAGGAAGGGCTACTGGGTAATACAGTTAAAGGAAGGGCCAAGAAAACGTGAAATGAAACGAAATGAAGAAGTCCTGCAGTAGACAAACGATTCCGGACATACCCCTTAGAAGGTGCCTGCCGTACAACAATTTAGGAGAACTTCGATGCGGTAAAGTACTTATGATATAACTCGGTGTAGTGGTATCTGGCAGGCCTTCGATTGACGGCATGCGCGTTGATTGGCACTTTGCTATCGTGTAGTTTGAATCTCCAGAACAGTGATAACGTTGCCATTGGCCGCATAAACTGTCTTCACCCTATAGCATTCGAACAGTGTTACAATCTACACCGGAGTACCTCGAAGCGCGCGATGTCCTCAGCAATCCTCCTACACCGGCGTCTGTTGTCGCTCGTTTACACGTTCTCGGTTCCACACTTCCCCTGCAGGGGTTGGCTCTGCGGCAGTCGGATGCCTTCCATGTGGCGCGGATTGCAGAGATATGTGTTACGAGTACACGTACACGGCAGGCATGTCATGCATGTCATCTTTGTCGAAAAGGAAAGTGCTGGGGATGGAGCAGTTTCCTGCACATTCCACAGCAATTTTTGAAGGCAATTCTTGAAGCCATTAGGAGGGTAGGATCCGGGCTGGAATTAGGGAAGAGCTCTGTCGCAGAATTAGCCTGGATTTTAATCCTGAAAAAAGAATTGGTCCGTCGGGGTCTTGAATTGTTCTGGCGGGCTCGCCGGAGGTATTCGAATTGCGCTGTGGAGCCTCGGAATTGGGCTGTGCTGGGCCTGAATTGGCCTCTCCGGGTGTCGAATTGGTCTGATAGGGGATCGAATTAGCCAAGCCATTTTTTAAGCAGCCCTTCGCATAAACGTGATCCAAAATGCCCGTCAGCTGCGAACCGTCGGGCAGTCGCATTTCCTCCAGACTTTATCACCCACAAAATTGTTGAAGTTGTATCAATGAATGGGTTCTTCTTTCCGTCGTCTTCCATTGTCAGTCATGTTAGGCAGTTGGCGGTCGGAGCTTAATTAGGCCCTCAACCCCAGCACAGACGCTGCCCCGCATGGTTCCGCGTCTGCAAGGCGACGGCCACGGCGGCAAATATCGCAAAGTGGAGAAACAACGCGCGAGTGCAAGCGGCGCATGGAGGCAGCAGTGTATTCGTTGGGTGGGACCAGGCTGCACGTGTCGACCGGGAGTGAGCTCTGTAGAACCAAGGAAGGCTTTTTCAAGGTGCCGGTACTATGGCGACTTCCTGCATACGCGCGCTTGAAAAAACGAGGCTAATGCCTTGGGTTTCCCAATCCGCAAAGCGGCGGAAAATTTATTAGCCACTACCAATGCTTGCTGACAGCTTATCAAATATATAAAATGTGTAATAGATTTTCTTGTGGCTTGTTCCGAAATGAAACGCCCCGTACGGCGGCGCGAAGACTGCTGTGGTGAAACCCAACAGACGACCAATAGCTTTGAAAGTTCTGCCAGAAAGTTAACGATCTATTCTAGATATGGACCTACACATAACTTTCTGGAGCTTAGAAACAATTCGTGAAGTTGGAGCTGCTACTGTACTACGCCCGCCGGCTGTTTCCGCCAAATTTTGACCTCCCCATGAACTACATTTTTGTACTGCTTTTAAGTAACAATTTCAAGGCATGAAGCTAGCATCTGTTGTTTCACGAAGACAGAAAAATTACTGATCGGTGGTTACATTTTTAGTCTATAGACTATCCGCCTTGTGGGCATAGTCCGGCTTTCGGTGAGTGAAACTGCAGCAGCTGCTCGCTGCTCTGCTAGCTACCTAGCAAGCGACCATGCTTGCCGTTGGTATAATTCACGTCATCCTTTAATATTTCTATATATTTGCATATATTTCCTGCCCCTTTCTATCACCCACCTCACCCACGTAGCCACCACAGCAGCGTATGCGCCTGCCGCTGCTGCTGCTGTGCTGCTGCTGTGCTGCTGCTGCTGCTGTGAGAGTGCGGCTTTGATATTGTTGTTGGGATGGGATGTTGTTGTTGTTGTTGCTGCTTGTCGATGGGGTATTACACTGTGGGCGGCTCGTCACGAGAAAGGACGAGCACCGGGGGCCCTGACGGGGGCCGAAACACAGCGCAGGGGCGGGGGCGCGCGGCTACGTCCATCTGTTCCTCCACGCGCACCTCACTCCCTCACTCACACCCGCGGGGGCGCTCTCCCAGCCCCTGGCTTGCTGTTGTTACACTGTTACATTGTTCATTTTCGACCATAATACGTTTTACAGATGTTCGTTGTCCATCATGTTAGGATGGCTGCAGCAGCCTTAACTGGATGGTGCAGCGAAACATGATGAGTGCGTTTCACAGTTCCGGAAGTTCCGGATATGCGGCATGCATAGCTGGATGACTGCTAAATTACCTCATTGACCGTCATTATAACCATGAACCACATACTGAGTACATGCGGCTGGTTGCTGATTGATGAAATGGAATGCAGGGCTTGCTTCTTGCACTTGCTCATCACACACGTTCGTGTGTCTGGACGTGTGGCTGTGCCATTCATAGCTGCAAGGAAGGGAAGCACTGCAACAGCATGGCAGGGGTTCCTGCTTCTGCTACAGTCGCCAGCTCCAGACGCCATCCGAACACAGGTTCCATTTCCTCAAGTGAACCTGGCCCTGATCGTCTGTCACAACAGCCCAATGGGCCCAAGGACTCTGCAGGAGCCATCACTATCCCCTCATCTTCACCCTCAGTACGCAGCCTGCAGCGGAGTAATGGCATTGGGCTGAATAATACCGCCTTCCTATGGCTGTTGCTGCTCACCACCACTGTTGGTATTGCGGCGGCTGCAGACACACCACCGCCACCACCACCGGTCACCTTTCCCTGCGATGGTCCGCCTATCATCCTTTACCGGGGAGCAGAGATCACCAGGGCTGCCGATGTACCTGTGCCTTTCCGTGCGGCTGATACGGGTAGTGTACGCATCAATCAGTCGGTGATATCAGCTATGGATTATAGTATTGATGTGGGTTACCAGTATTATGGTCTTTTATCAGATCTCTTTTTCAATAACACTGTCGGCTCTGACGTGATCTCCTATTTTCGTATACTCCCGAATAACGAGTTTCGGATGCGCTTCAATGGCACACCAGGCTGCAGTCCATTGAGTACGGATGAGATGACAAACCTAGCCTTCTCAACATCCTATAGTGTTCGTTCTGGTTACAGATGCGGCTTCGCAATCTTTTCTAGAGTTACAAGCATACAACACTGTGCATCGGTCCCTATTTACTTATTTGGTTTGTTGCGGACAGTAAGTGCCAGCGGTATCCCAATAGACGGAGCGGCAGGAATATGGTTGAGTGACAAGTGGGTGACGGCGGGTGACCCGAACGACCCTGTCTGCCCCAACTCGCCGACCAGCTGGGGCTACGTCCCACTGGAGTACTACTATTGCCCCTGTTCTCTAGCGCCATCGCCACCACCCAGGCCTCCCTCCCCACCTTCACCCAGCCCTCCCCCCCCATCACCTCCTAGCCCTCCCTCCCCAACACCATGCCCACCTCCACCACCACCACCACCACCACGGTCGTCACGGCCTTCCACATCTCCAGCACCATCCTTATTTCTACCCCCAACAAATATGCCTTCTTCACCGCCACCTGCATCCCAGCTCCCATCCAGCCCTCCACCTCCGCATCTTTTCAGCCCTCCACCTCCTTCACCTTTCCAGCTCCCGTCACCCACGCCATCAATCTTACCACCCTCACCGCCGGTGCCAGAGCCTCCTGTATCAAAACCCCCAAGCCCGCCATTACCCACTGCATCAAGACCACCATCCCCAGGTCCGTTCCCTTCATCTCTCTCACCTCCCCCACCATCTCAGTCTCCAGCCACCCTGCCACCTCCACCCCAACAACCTCCCCCCAAGCCTCCCAAGTCTCCCAAGTCCCCAAAGTCCCCCACGTCCCCCAGAACACCCAAGGCTCCCAAACCCGTCAGCCCACCACCTCCATCCCCAGGAGGGAATTCCATCTTGGCCAACGACTTCCCCTTCCTGGATTGCAAGGGAAGTACTGCCACTTCACCGTACCGCATGTCATCCCTTTCGGGCCCCTTCAATGTCACGAGCTTCACAGCCACCTACTGTTTTACAGCGGCCCTCAGCAGTTCCCCGGTACCGGACAGCTCATGCAGCTCAACGACCGTTGACAAGATCGCTTTCATTCTCGGTGAGTGATTTAGCGTTTCCATTCGGGCTGCGGTTGTTCGGGCTGACGAATGACAGACAGCCAGAAAGTGTTAGCTACACACAAGATGAAAAGGAGCCCAAGCTAGTAGAAAGGAAGCTACGACCCCTCACCACGAAATGAGAACAGAGCGCGACAACACATGGCATCAAAGCAAGCCGGGTCAAGGACGCAATCCAATTGCACGAAATAGCGAACTCTGAGCAGTACGATGCCCAAGATCGACTCGCCTTCACCCGGCAACCAAACAACCCACGCATTACAGCGCACATTTGAACGACCAAGCATACAATCCTACTCGGAATGGCAACCTTTGGTCGCCGGTTGGGAACCCCAACCAATTCCAAACATTCCGAAAATGCCCTGTAGTGCTCCCCCCAGACAAAGGTGAGGCCCTCTAGCCGGAGGCAATGGGGGAGGGAGGGGGACCCTATACCCGGCTTCCATACATAACAGGATTCATCATGAGCTAGTCCCTGCCCAGGATGCATGGGGGTGTTGCAATCTCCCTCACAGCCCCAGGACCTGCAGAATCCACTGTGGAGTCCACTGAACTTGTGAACAATCAAAATCCTGTGTCGAATTACTCGACAATTCATTACTGGTAGAGCACACACCAATGCCCCCGAGGGATCCCGGGATCTAGACCTGTCAGGGTCGAAAATCCTTCCGATGATGGAAGGTAAAGTGCTCGTAGTCGATGGACGGTGGTGACCTGGGATAAAGTTAACTTTCGAGTCGACCAGGAATGGAGTTGAGCCGCTGTCGATCCGGCAGACTCCTTTGGATACCGGTGGTGGGTGTGGAATCTGAGCGATCCACTGAGAAGTTGGCTAAGGTGACTGGATGAGGGTGCCCCGAAATACCGGGGAAGGCAGGGTTTCGCAGGGTAGCTGCCACTGGCGAAGATTCCCCTCAGGGTGAAGAACCCCCTGTCCCACACATCATAAATTCACAAGAAAAAGATGACCCAATTCACACTCAAAACGACAAATATTAGTTATCATGTCTATCAGAGGTCGACTCGCCTACATGCATGCACATGTATGTGTACATGTTGCTGATTGATTTGCTGACGTACATACGATAGTACCAGGATATACAAAATATTCACAGACGGTTTTACCCTGGTATCGGCATTCCTTCCGGCAGTTACATCGTTTGCTAGCGCGATCTTGCACATATAGAGACCCTAGGTCGTCAGATCGACAATAGCCGACAAATTGGACAAGGATAGGCGGGGGGACGACTGCTTATGATAGAGTGTAGCTGGCCGCTGAAAAGGCCTCTATAGATGCTGTTGGAGCGCCTTATTAGCGCGTATTTATAGACGATATGTGTGCCGTACTATGTACAGCTATTAAATGGCTGGAAGATTGGTTGTAGACTATATGTGCTCCCAGGAATGAGAATGCACCAAAACCACCACATACATCCCTCACCTTATATTGGGCGTATTGTGCGGTTTGCAGGTACAGGGAACGCACCCCACGACGATGTAATGCACATGTACACACATACATCCCTCACCTTATCGAGGCAGGGTATTAAGCAAGTAGTTGCTAAGGTACAGAAGCCAAAGTCAAGGAATGTAGCTGGTTTACGTAGTTCTATGCATGCTGGTAGTGTGTGATAGTCAGTTTGTTGGACTTGGTCAATTAGTGAGGATGAATTCATCATATCTGCACAACCCCCACGGCATCACCCGCTCTGCTCTACAGCAACCAACTTCATCTGCGACTCCTCCTCCCAAGCCCTACAGCAGCGGCCTCTCAAACCCCTCCCACTGCCCCTGCCTTGGCTCCACCAGTGGCAAGGTGAGCCATCGCCCTCGAAAAGCCCTCTACCCAGACCCAATGGAGGACCAACCCTCGGACCTATGCCCTCCTCACCCAGTGGGATAGCCCGTCTACCGGGGTCCTCCTAGCACCCCCTTTTATTCCCCTCCCCTCCCTCTCCCAGCCCTACTGGCTGTACACAACACAGTTTTCCTTCTTGGAGTGCAACATTTGGAGTGGAATACCGCAAGAAGTCGTGGGGGTAAAGGAGCGTGTTGACTGGTTGTTGAGTAGACCTCTACCCGAAGGAGCGATAATAATGGCACTAAGAGAGCGTTTGATGAGTGGCTGGGACCATACGCGTCTGACTGTCTTGCCAGAGGAGTACCCATCAGATGGGAAGCAACCGGGAGTGCAAATGGCGAAGTATAAGCACTGGATGGGGCTGCCCTTTTCGGGTTTTCATTCCTCGTTTAGCACATCGTAAGCTAATACAGTTTCGTTTATGTTGCTGGGCTTTGGAGGCAAACAGAGCATGAAGGGGCAAGTACCATGTCCCCAGGGGGCAGCGGTTTTGCCACTGTTGTGGTACTAATAGCCGAATTGAGGATGAAAAACACGTGTTATTGGAATGCCCAGCCTATAATGATATTCGTGCTGAAGAGGGATTCGATCATCAACAGAGCATGTTGGAGGCCATGCAATGGGAACCCGCACGTCTGGCGAGGATGTTGGAACGTATGTGGGCTCACCGAAACTCAATACCCCCTTTGGACGCTAATCCGGGCTGATGTGCGGTGTTTTTCCTTTTCTCCGTGGCTTTTAGGCGTTGTAGTATTGCCCTTGGGCCTTCGGCTCGTATGGGTAGTCTTACAGGTATGGGGTCACGCACCCCCCAACCATGTAACACACACACACACACAACACAGACGCCCGTCCACCGCCAATAAAATGGGATAGTTGGGGCCCACGCTGGCCCAACCACATCAGGGTATCTGAGCTCTGCAAAGCCCTGAACCTGCTGCCAAGAGTTAAGCACTGTTCGGGCTCTCACGACTTCCAGTGGGGCTGCTGGGGCCTCGGGTTCAGGTGAATCGTGGGTTGCCGGCTGCAGCCCTGCCCGTTCATGTTCCATGTCAGACAGTGCCGCAAGGCTGACCACGTCCCACACTCATGGCTGCATCCCTGCCGGTGCTTCTGCAAGCCACACATTCGCCCGGGATATGGGTCCGGGTATATAGGCCACCATCTGCTTTACTACCGCCTGCACTACTGGGCACTTCCCAGAAGTGATGCACTGCAGCACCTGCTGTTGTCCTGCCACCCCTCCGAATCTGCCGTAGCCACACATCAACAGCCAGGCACCAAAGAGTTTCCTTGTGCTCCTGCTTCCACTTGACCGCCCACAGCCATTGCAGTGTTCCCGGCATGCAGCAATGCTTCTGTCTTAGGGTCAAGCATGTTCGCTGCTGCCGCTGCTCCGGATGCACTTCCCCCCACAACTTCTGCTTCACTGTTGGGCGGGGGATGCTGAAGCACCAGTCGCCAGCTGCCGGCAATGCAGCCCTTTCAAGTTACAAGTTACAAGTTCCACACAAGTGCGGGGGTGTCCATAAAAGCCATTGGGGGGGGCCCCATGGACGGTAAATCGTTTTTAGCTAAAACTTTAGTGTGGTTACATGATGGACCATCTGATGGTCACCATCATCATCCTCCCTCGTCGCTTGAGCATGGAGCGCCTTAGAGCAACGTGCCGCTTAGAGCAACGTGCCGGGTCTCCCAGACTTCCGAGAGGAACCTGGCTAGCGCCAGGGGTGGGGCCTTGGTCATAATCGTGCGCATGTTGCGCCCTTGAAACGCGAGGTCACGTTCGTACTTAGCCCGTGTACTAATGTATGCTGGGCATTCCACAAAGACATGCATTTCGTCTTCAACCGCCCTGCAATCACAAAGCCTGCAGGTGTGTGCTGTGCACTCACGGCCGTTAGGTCGGTTAATCTCTAACTCCCAACAGCCTAACCGGAAACGCATAAGCATTTGATGCAAACGTTGGGGCATGGCGGTTTCAGCGTGGGCCAGCCACTTATGTCGCGTACCCCTAAGCGGGGGCGCCCCCATCCAGTTCAGATAGCGACATGCCTTGACGCCGGTACTTCCACTTGGGAAGGTGCATGGGTCACCTAGGGTATCCGGGCACACCCACCGAACTCCACCCTAGCAAACGTTTTACGTATGCTTCCCACTGGCAGCCTAACGGTGGCGTATTGCTCTATGAGGTCGTCACCTCGCAGACCGGCTGGGGGTGTCTTGTGCTGGTGGGAGGTAGCTGAGGGTGTCGTCCAGCAGGTGTCTGGCACCCGGATGGGGTCCGTTGCTGCATGTTGCTGTCATTACAGGGTGGTACAGCTTCACCAGCGGCCTCCTTCCCGAGGCAATTCCCTGCTCTCCTCTGCTAGAGGGGCACCCTAATCCATTCACCCCATCCGACTTCAGAGTGTATTCTGTGGTTTTGGCAACTCACCACCAGCATCCAACCAAGTCGTGCGGAGCATTGGCGTCTCAACTTAGATTATGTCCGGCTTGTAAATTGATTTTGATCATGTCCTACATCGTCCACAGGTGAGGGGGCCACCTCCCATTTCTACACCACTCACACCACATCCAAGGGGTCGGCAGGTGGATTTGAGCCCGGACACTCCGGGAGCAGAAGTCGGGCCTTAACCTCTGCCAGCCACCTGCATGTTGCTTCCACCGTCAGCACGAATCTGGCTTGTGCTTGGCATGCACCTGCAGTGCCTCCACCAGGTGCATCCACGCATGCTGTTTCACTGCTGTTGGCAGTTCGGCCGCTAATGGCATGGCGCTGACGTCCCACAAGTAGTTGGCGATCATCTGCGGGCACTTCACCTGTAACTGACAAAATTTGTATGAGCACGAACATGTTTAACTGTCATATGGGTCGAATTTGCAATCTGTACGGCCATCTCTCCATGACCATAGCGGCGGCTTACCTGCCGAAGGCCTCATGTTTCACAACTTGATTGGCGCTACCCTAAATGGGATCAGGTAATCTTTTGTGCACAAAACTAGGGGGAAAGTTTAGGATCTTCGAGGGGCCGCACCAGAACACCATGGTGCTGTCTACTCTAGCGCGAAGCTCACATCACCCTCGCGTGCGGTACTGCCAATAACCCTTCACGCGACGGGAGTAGTCTCGATCCCCAATGGGGTCGGCGACTAACGCACGCAAATTTCGACCGATTAGCTTCCCGACTGCTCTGGTAACGTCGCCTTACGGACTGCGCTTGCAAAGTGCGTCGGCTTCCCCGACCGCTCTCTGCACAGCAAGACAGCCCAGCAGCTTGTGCACAAGTGGTTAAGCAATGGGACTGTACGGATTAAAGGAGCCCTCGCCCCTTTCCTGGCTTCAAGGAAGCCGACACCACCTTGTTGCACCACGACTTGGGCCACCACCGCTTCAGCCAGCCGTGCCGCGTCTGGGTTGGCATCCAGGGTGGCCACAGCCTCCGGGGCTGTGGAGCGGAGCTGTTGTATGCTGGCAGCGGGTCGGGTGTGGCGGGTCGTGGCTACCCAGTTGCGGCAGGCCACCTGACCATTTGGATTGCCACTTGCTCATTCAGCAAGTCACCCATCATGCAGTTGAGCTCAGGGTGTGCGAGGAAGTGGAGGCGGAGGCGGCGGGGTATCTTCTGTCGCGGTGACTGATGCCGAGGGGCAAGGTGGGGGAGCACCAGGCGGTGATCTGAGGGAGAGGTAACATGTATTGAGGCCCATGGGTGATGAAGAGGCTGGCTGTGTAGAAGGAAGGTAGATGCAGTCCAGTGCGAGGCCCCAGCCTGAGGTGCGCAGTACATGTACATCAAGTCCCTGCGCTGGGGGTGCAGCACTCGAAAGCTGTCAGCCATCATTGCTGTGGTGGTGGCGGCCTGGAAGAGCTGGGTGGAGGCTGCAACACCCACCCGTCTGAGGGCCTGCAGAGCTGTCGAGGCCTGGGTTTTCTACGAAATTGCAGTCCCCACACCAGACGAGCAGTGTCCCCTCCACAGCAGCAGCTCTCACTCTGGGGCCAAGGTAGAGTTGCCGGCAGAGGGTGGATGCAACCGGGCGGCTGGTGTGGGGAGAAGTAGATGCTGCAGATCTGCAGCTGGTGGCCGCCCGATTGGAGGCCGCACATGGTGAACCAGCTGTTAGGTATGTCTGTGTAGTAGCCGGTCACTGTACATTACCGTGAAAACTACAAATACGCGCTAAGCGCTAACACCAGCATCTCGAGAGGCCTTTTCAGCGGCCAGCTACTACAGTCTGCAGGTGAGGGATGAGGGGATAGCCACTCCGGATAGCACTCTGGGGTCCTGCACTAGATCCCGAGTATGCTGCTACAATCCATCCGGACTGGTGGCGCCGTTCCATAGTGCTCCTCAGAGTGTGCTGCAGCAGGGCAAGGTCCCGAGCGTCCACGTGGTTGTCTCTTGTAGACACACCACATCCAGCTTGAGCTCTGCCCAGAGTTGGACAGCCGCCTCCAGGCATGCAGCCGCATGCCTCTCAGCGACCCGATGGCCCCCCATGTTGTGGGAGGCAACACGCAATGGTCTGGGTTGGGGAACCCGGCCTCCCTGTCCCTTGGCAGCATGCATGACTGCTTGGGCAGAGGCGAGGTCGCCACTGTTGCCTCGGTCGGGTTGCATTAGTGGGGGCGTCATCCTGGGAGAGCTGCAGCTGCAGGCTGGGTATCTTGTGTGTATGTGTGTGTGCGCATGTGCATGCGTGTGCACGTGTGCATGCATGTGCGTGTGTGTGTGCGTGTGCATGTGTGTATGTGTGTATGTGTCACATATCGACACGGGCCGACATGGGCCTGACACTGGCCAGGGGCACCCAACCATACCCCAACGGGAACGCCCGCCGAAGCAGTCCATGATTGGAGGGGTCAGAGTCCTAACCGTTCTCCTTATCAACTCAAAGCGCTGTCATCTGTTCGGATCCTCTAGCCATCTACATTCACCGGAGATGCCAAGCAAGCTCCATTCCACCGAACGCATGCTGCATGATCTGCCAATCCACTGATGTAGTATCCTGGTCATCAAGGGACCTGTCATCCGCCGATCGGTTCTTTTCTGGAAAAAGACGTGATACAACAACTGACACCGGTGCCAATCACCCTATCTGGCAAATCCTGACACATCTTAATCGATCTTGGGGCACTTCCAGGGGCATTATTGCTATGTCCGGAGAAGGAGGGATGCAGAGCGGTGCCCCATCTGCACATCCTGGGGGTGGTGTAGTAGCTGGTACACAGTACGTCACACGTATCAACTGTGAGCCGCTTCACCAGCATCTCGGGCGGCCAGCTACTACAGGTGTTCGGGCACGCATCCTGTCGGTTGGATACATCCTACAATAATAGAACCTTGTATTTCTCCCCTAGGGAATCTAAAGGCACAAGGCCTGTCCTCAGAAAAAAATCTGAGTCAACTGCACATTTCGTAGATCCGAATAATGAAGTTAAAAGTTTAGATCGAAAGTATTTCTTTATAAATTAAATGTTTTGGTTACTTTAATGTCGAGGCTAAGTTATATACGTGTATTATTAATTCCTATAATTTTGACTGGTTGTCTAAATTACATGGATTAACTTACGCATTGCAGCACAAATTATAGCCATTTTATGTTTACCTTTTTCCTGGAGCTTATCACAAAAAGATTTAATTGCAATGATACTTTAATAGGTAATAATGGGGATGATTATCTAGATGGTGGGCCCGGGCCATTCCTAACCTAATAACTATCATTATCCCTAGGCACCCTAAAAGAGGGAAAGAAATTTTAGACCAAACAACTAAATACAAAACCTGAGTATAGTTTTTACCAAGCACCGGATGGGTTGTCAGTACCACAAAATATATTGATACACCATCTACTAGATGGTATATCAATATATACCATATCCTTAGATGAAGTACATCTAAGGAATAAAAATATTAAACTCTTTATGTAGTAGCTGTTACACAGTACGGCTCTACAAATACGCGCGAAAGCGCGACCACCAGCATCTCGAGAAGCCTTTTCAGCGGCCAGCTACTACACTTTAACCTGCGCTTATACCGCAAATAATAACGAGCTTCTTCTACCACCGAAGCGATAGATTTGTTTGCCAATGGATGTTTAAGCGCCATTGCTAATTCTGCTGAAATACGAGATCAAGAAAATACCGGGGTGAAGATATGACCCCCCTGTCCCACACATCATATTTACTCATTGTACATGATTATCCATGGTATGTGTTTATTAATTGGACAGTATGGTCTATAGATTGTGCCATGGTATAATAAAGGGCTGGTATATAGACACTCGCTCTTAAATTTTACCAGATGCTGGACTGAGGAAGTGCATGTTCCGCCTGCCTACCGGTCACACCCGACACGTGAATTAACCCCCCGTACCCTACCTGCCCTACCTGCCCTACAGACATATCCTGCGTGAGTGAAGATGCCAAGCGCCTCCAGAGTTCCACAATCAATGGTGAAGTTGTGACCTTCAACTACCGGACGAAAAAATGGAAGGGCGAGCAGTTCGGCTTGCTTATCTTCGAGAAGCTGGGTAACACCTTCCCAGTGACCCCAGCTACGGGATTGCGCCTGTGCATGGTGCTGCAAACCGGCGGCTCCTGCAGTACACCCGCGGGAATGTGCCAGGGCGGCGCCAGCAGCGGCAGCTGCGTCTACTTGCTGTCTGATGCTGTCTACTCTTGCTGTGCAGTCAGTGAAGCGCTGCTCTGAGCCGGTGGATGTATGGCGATGTTTATTGTACGATGCCTATCTGACCTGCAGCGGGTGCGTGCTGCTCATGTGTAGTATGCTGTAGATGACACAACCAGAAAATGGTGGTATCGAAAGATACCGATAGAGACAAGTGTTTTGAATAAATAGTCATCAGTGACTCCACTTGGGCCTCGGGTCGAAAAGTCCCCAGTACGACTGGGCGACGCGATATCCAGATGCCATAGCTCTCAGGAGCTACTCTCACTCGGTCAAACGAACCAGGGACGCAGGTCCCAGCTTTACGCAGGTAAAGCCCCCGCCCATACGCAGTTATGGACTTCCGCAGCAGTGCGGCATTCGAATGGCGGACGACTATCAGTAGTCGCTTTAGCCGCCGCAGCTAACAGTAGCCGTAAGTAAACTAATATCAGTATTAGTTAGACCTGTAATCACCGACAGCGGATATATACAGGTTTTTGTTAGTAACAGTGAGATTCGTACATCGGACCGGACGAGCTAACTGCCGACGTTAGGCTTCGGAGCCGCGAGCTGTGCAGAAAGCTTACAGGATACAACATCTTGCTTGCCTAACTTGCATTTTGCTAGGTAAAGCTTAAGCATGTGATATACAGCATTCGTGTATGAAGGCCTGGTCACTTCACACATGACATTTATAGCATGACAATTGATCATATAACTACAGTTAATATGTACATAATAAGGAACAATAATAATTCTCTACCTGTCCGGTTTGCCGCTCGGGCCCGGGGGTGCCCCCGGGGGTGCCGGTGGCACCGTGCCTGGATTTTTCCGGGCATTGTATAGGCGACATATTCTGGAATTTATGTGAATTGTATATAGGCCATTTGGCCGTCTACCTTTTATCCGAGACTTAAAGGCTCAGGCCTAAGAGGCGCGTGTGTGCATGGTGGCCTAATACACGCGTAGTCGTACGACCATGCATAGGCATATTATTATGAGTACATGTTTACATCATAGCCTATAGCAAGGAATGTTTAGGCTATGTGGTATAAGTGGCCATGTATACCGGTCTGTATACACTTGATGTTGTACACGACATTGCCTATATAGCTATATAGGCCTATACCAAGCAGTGTTTATGCCATGTGGTATACTGCGGTATACTCGATCGTATATTAGATATTGACGCTTGTAGACGGAGCTTTACAAATCTCACATATTACACACATATTACTATCACACAGCTCAACTGTATACAGCCATGGGCCAAACCCAAATGCTCCCAGATGGCTTTTTGCAAGGTGCTATCACGGTTATTTGTAAAAATCGGGGATCTCCCACCTCCCCCGGTAGTTATCGACCGATTACCTTGTTGAATACAGATTACAGGATTCTCACCAAAATTTTAACCCGTAGGCTGAGTCCAATACTAGGGCGAATCATCACGCTCGAGCAGTCTGCTTTTCTGCCGGAGCGCTTGATAGGTGCACATGTTCTTTTCCTGCGGCATCTACCGCAACTCATGTCGACGACAGGCCAGTCGTGTCTCCTGGCTTTTTTGGATATTGCAGGAGGGTAGGATCCGGGCTGGAATTAGGGAAGAGCTCTGTCGCAGAATTAGCCTGGATTTTATTCCTGACAAAAGAGTTGGTCTGTCGAGGTCTTGAATTGTTCTGGCGGACTCGCCGGAGGTATTCGAATTGCGCTGTGGAGCCTCGGAATTGGGCTGTGCTGGGCCTGAATTGGCCTGTCCGGGTGTCGAATTGGCCTGTCCGGGTGCCGAATTAGCCTAACAGGGTATTGAATTAGCCTGACAGGGTATCGAATTGACCTGTTCGGGGTGTCAAATTGGCCTGACAGGGTATCGAATTAGCGTGTTCAGGGTGTCGAATCGGCTGTCAAGTTGGCAGGATTGGCTCGGGCTGGCACCCAAAAGCACATGACTTTTAAGGAATTTACAGAAAACTTTGCAAGAGGACCGCTTACAAGTGCCTCATGTGCGTATTAGTTTCGATCCCACGACATGGAGTGGGAAAACTTGCACACCTGGTTACCGTACTCGGGCACTACTACTACTACGGGAGGCAAGCACTCAGGGCCACGACTGCATTACCCACCACACTTCATCGGCAGTTCGTCCAGTTTATGCCACAACACTCGTATGCATGAATAGGTTCGGATGGAAACAATGACAAATCTCTGATACACCACTAAACTCAGTACCACGAGCTACATTGAAAACAAATGAAAATGCAGATGTCTGCCGAGAAGAATATGTTCACCATATGCAATCTATGCCTTAATCCATCGAGCTCTCCGTTGGGCGGGGCATGGCCCATGAAGTCGCCCCTGGTATTTCGCCCATGCAACCAAACACTGACACAAAACGTTGCACGTCTGGGCCCATGTAAACCACGACACTTCCGTGTGGATTGGCTACCCGCGCTCCCTGTAGCAAGCTACATTTCCCTTAGAATATTTTAACGATTACTTTTAACAATAACTGTTAATTTGTTAAACGATTTGACTCAAGTTTCGTACATGTTCCGAGTTTCGTCACATGTCGCGAGCTGGGCAGTTGTTCGTAAGCGATCGTTCACACCATTAAGGATGCGATCGTTCACACCATTCAGCGGGTGCCCCTGCCAGCGGATACAGCTCAGCAAGAGGCAGGCGCTACCGCTGTTGGCCGACGGGCTGCACCCGCTGCTGCCGATGGGCAGCGGCAGGATGCGATCGTCCACACCATTCAGCGGGAGCCCAATCCAGCTGCCCCAACTCAACAAGAGGCAGGCGACACCGCTGTGGGTCGACGGGCCGCATCCGCTGCTGCCGTTGGGCAGCGGCAGGATGCGATCGTTCACACCATTCAGCGGGTGCCCCTGCCAGCTGCCCCAGCTCAGCAAGAGGCAGGCGACACCGCTGTGGGCCGACGGGCCGCACCCGCTGCTGCCGCTGGGCAGCGGCAGGATGCGATCGTTGGCATCATCCAGCGGGAATCCCAGCCAGCGGTCGCACCTCAACACGATTCCCTCATTATCGCCGCTAGCCAATGGGACGCGATTGTCGACGCCGCTGAACAGCGGCAGGACGCTACACCCCCCACCACGCGGCAAGAACTTCAGACAACTGCCAAAGCGAGAAGGGACAGCCCATCGCAGGCAGACCTGGCAACGCTGGAAGCGGACCGGCCATATACCACGCGCTCAGTTCGACGCAGGACCTTGTCACGGGACCTGTCCTCGGAGAGTGCCGAAGATGATGCACCTATGCAAAATGCCTACGACACGTTATCACCTCTTGTAGACCTCCAGCTGGAAGGCTTCCCACTCGCCAACACCTGGCCGGAGGCACTACAATCCCTTTACTCCCTTTCGGGCACTGGCCCGGACATGGACCTGGACTTTATGTAATGCCCAGGAATCGCCACTCGAACAGGCGGGCCGTGCAACTTCTACGCATTGGCTCCCACAACGTTCGCAGCCTCCTGGGATCAGGGTACAACAACGCATCCGAACGCACAGCCCAACTCATCCGTCAATGGGCTAGGCAAAGGCTGGATATCGTCTGCCTCCAAGAAACAAGGGTAACGGCTCACCGTGTGCCCCAGGCACGAACGATACTCCACAACCTGTCTCGGGCGTTTCACCTGGGCCAGTGGGTATCCTGGTGGGACCCTGCGTTGGATAGCCGGCGTGGAGGCGGAACAGCAATCCTTATACGCAGCGCACTTCTCACCAGCGGGGCATTAACCTTCCCGGGGACACAGGCCCAACCTACGATGTCAGGAGACGGTCGTCTTTTGCGCTTACCCATATGCTGGGGAGACCATACCTTTACTTTAATCAGTGCTTACCTTCCTAGCGCTGATCCCCCGGCCCAAAGGACTTTTATTCAGCAACGTCTACGGCCGCTTATGGCGGATGCTGGACTCCATATCTGGGCAGCTGACTTTAACTTTGTCAACAATCCTGACCTCGATGCATCCACTCCGTCGGCACGGAGGAATGATGTCAACACCACGGCAGAGTTTAACGTTACTTGCCCGGGGATGATTGACACGTTCCGCCTAATACACCCCCGCCGGCGTGCTTACACATACGTCCATCCAGCGGGAGCTTCCCGTATTGATCGCATAATGGTATCGCAAGCCCTGGAAATGGCAGTCTATGGCAGCGATACAGCCTCAGGGACTCCAGCGGATCACCGGATCACCCACACTACCATCCGGGCAGCCAATAGTACGCACACACCAGGACCTGGCCTACCCCGTACTAGGCTTCACTTCCTGGATCATGATGACCTATGTGCAAACTTAAATATGTGGGTAAATAACACGGCAGAATCAGCCCCCACGCACCCGGACGACCTCATCCAATGGTGGCCAGGCTTCAAACGGGCGCTGGCCCTATCAGCTGGCCGCCTAAACCAACAGGCACGCATGCGTCAGCTAATTGGAGCTGCAGACGAGGCTGCTGCCCAAGCCCAGGCCGACAGCATCCTGGCGGAAGCGGAGGAGGGGGACGCTTCGGCTCTTCCACGGGCGGTTCTCGCTAGGTCGGCTCAGGCAGATGCGGCACACCGGGCTGTAGCAGGCGTCACACGACGCACCCGCTACAATTGGATACGTACAGGCGAACGACCTAGCCCAGCACTAACCAACCAACTTAGGCCACCCTTAGCAACCCGCAGAATCACTGCCCTACGAAGGCCTAATGGTACTCTGTGTAGCAATTTACAACAGCTTCCTAATATCATGGCGGATTATTGGCAACAAATAGGTGCACAGCCCCATACTGACCCAGTTGCGCGGTCACGTGTCCTCCAAGCGCTCCGTGCGAGGGGCAGGACGTGCTCACCAGAAGAAGCGGCTAGGGCGGGAGCGCAGGTTGTTACAGCAGAGGAAGTGCAAGCCGCTCTCCAGGCGGCAGCCCCGGGCCGTGCTCCGGGTCCCGACGGAATACCGGTGGAATTATACCAGCGTACTAACTGTGCACCCTTACTGGCTGCCGTTTTTACAGCTATGGGGGAACTAG